TAGGTTTATGGACGGAGCTCAGTCGATCGGTCGCGATCGCGTTTCGAAGTCGGTTTTAAATGGTGGAGACCTCGTGAAATTCTTTTTTCATTGACTTTACCTAAGAGTTGGCACATTCAAATGCATTTCTTTCCGATGAATTCTAGCTCTCTCTTGTGAATGCATTTTTAAGCGTGTTCTGCCCACCCTGGATGAACCTAGAACGTAAGAGATCTTCCTGCATTCTACGGCCTTACGTGCGAGTTTCCACCGTTCGAGTCATTCACTTTTAGGAAATGGTTAAGTGCATGGCAGACGGAATGTTGGCTACATAGATTATAAGGACCAGGTGCTCAGACGTTCTTTTATCTAATGTTCATGAATCAGAACTCCTCAGGCTATGGCGATATTTAAATGAACATTCAGCTTTGAAATTGCTCCTTTGGCAAATCAGATTTTTATTATTTATTATTATTTTTTACTGTGGCGGGTACTTGTTTTTCTTTTTTAATTATGAATTAGCCACTTATTATATACAGCGTTTCTGATACAAATATGTCTGGTCAAATGTGTCCGATCCATTCGTTCGTTGAACAGCCGGCGGAATCACGTCCCCGTCTGAATGAGCTCACAATTACATTAATGGAGTATTTCGAAAAGAAGAAATGAAAATAGGGAAGCTGCAAAATGAATTGAGCCGAGAAAGAACGAAAGTACGCCTGAGATTACGTTGCGAGTAAAGTTGAAACCCTTCCAAGTAGACGTGAGGATCATTCCATGAAGATAATATTTCTGCAGTCGTGCTCTCCCGCGTGCACGATTTTGCTTTAGCGACGTCGAATTTTGATGATTTACAATATGCATATCACAGTACGTATGCGGGGTGTCCAATGGAATTTACAGGGTTTGAAACGGCTGTAATTATCGTAATTATGCACAGGTCAACACGAAGCCCTTCGCAGTATGCACGCCGAGGTCTCCAATTTAGTACATGCGTAGGTTTCTCCTGTTGCTGGCAACTAACGGCAGCGGGTGTTGATCCACTTCATCCGGTTCTTCGACTCGTTCCGTGTTGTTGACGACTCTTCGAGAAGGTCTTTCGAGAAGGTCGAATACATAATTTAGTTTGCCAAATTCGAGTCGTCAGTTACTGCGACTCGCGAGTTGCGACGTGTCTTCAGAACGACGCCTACAGATCGATAGATCGTTCGTGTAGGGGAGCGTAAAATAATCACCATTTCCCCCCTCTCCCTCCCCCTGTCCAACATTCCTTCTCCCTTCTTACCCCTCCTCGATCTCCTTTGGTGCCTCCCCTCCACAATATCTGTTCTTACACTATATTCTACTCTATAGTCTTCACTTCTTTTCCTTCTCGTTCCTCATCGCAACATTCCGCTCCGAACACTCTCATGATTGATTTGACGATTGAAACAAAAAAAATTGCAAGACACGGGAACCTAGCTACATTGAAGAGACCATTGCTGCGGAGCGAGTGAAAACATTGATGCCTTCAGTGGAAGGTTCCAATAGTGGATTCATGTTCTTCACTAGCAAATGGAGAATGTATGAAACTTGACTTGGGCGAACACACTCTAACCTGTTTTCTGCAAGTATGCGCTTATCTATAAGGAAAACAAGAGGAAATCTTGCCATTTTAAATTCCGGTGGATACCCTTCACTTGCAGAAAGATGGCAACAAAGGCATGCCCAAAAAGCTGACCTACAATAGGGGCTCTGAAGGATTTGTAAGTGGTGGAGGGGGGAGGAGGAGGGGGGGAAAAGGGGTTTTCAGGGCCACCTATCATTACATAGCCAGTGAGAAACACTAACTTTCAAGAACGCACTGAAAGTATTCATTTCTCCTTAATGCGAAGTGAACCTTCACAGCAATAGGGTATTCCTAAATAACGTTCTCCTGTCTCCCTGACCCAAGGCAGTAGCTAGGGGATGTCTGGGGGGTATCCGGGTGGGTGTTCTGGGATTTGGACACCCCCAAGGTAAAGCTAGATTTCATGAAGCAAGTAATAGAATTTTGATTTTCTAAGACAAGTATGGTTATAGAAATAAGAAAGTCAAGTGCGACAAAGAGATTCAAACGCGTCGCTGTGCTGGATGTTGAATTAACCCTTTATGCACCAAATATCGAAATCCTGTCGACATTTTGCTAAAATGTGAGTTCCCTTGGTTCACCACTCCTTTCTGCATTCAACTGAAGAGGACAGCACTGCTGAAACACCGAATTATAGGACGTGCAACATTGGGTGAATGCAAAAATTAATGCTTCCAAGTAGCTTGACAATACTCCGGGATGTTGCAGATCTGCAACTCTGGAACATATAGGGTTAAAGGAAAAACATATTAGACATTTAAAAAAAAGTGAAACGCAAGTCATATTTCACGCAGTGCCAGGCAGCTGTCATCTCGCAACATTTTCATTTGGACAGCTCCATGTGACAAATGCATTTATGCAAACGCACGAATGCATTTGGATATCACGTCACAATCTCCGTTAATCTTATTTGCAACGTTTGACGTCAGGCCATGAAGAATGAGAGGTATCGATCACAAGTATAGGCTTTCCAAGTCCAATGGTGATGCATGAGAGTGAAATGTGACATGGAAATTCAAATTGGACGCTCCCCTGCATAGGAGTGAAGAGCGAAATCGGGGAATTCAAATGAGATAGGCCTGCTGGAAGCTGGGCTTGTATCAATATATCGGATATAAGGAAGATCAAATGTAGCTGCCCCATGTCATAAGAACAATAGCTTAGTCGTTTGCATCGAAAATTTTCAGACACATGGAGAACTATTCCAGCAAACAAGGTTACTTTAGATTAACGTTGTATCAGCGTTCCGAACATTTATTCAATGTTGATACAACGTTATGTGTTTTAAATTGTTTGATGTTTGTGCCTGCATGGATCATTGGTTATATTTTTCGAGGAGGGGGTAGGGGGAGGGGGGTTGATCACGTTATTGGCTTCATGCTCCAACTACGAAAGGATGGACGGAATATTCCCCCGTATACTTCATCCCCAACTCTGACGCTCGATCGCGATCGAAAATTCACTCTTTATTCACTGCCAGAAATTCTTTCATAAAATTCATGAAGCCTGGAAATGCAAGCTCTTTCATCCTTTAGTCCGTGTGACCCTTGAAGCAATTGATATTCTAATGTTGCATTTGAATTTCCATCTGGGATTTGACTTTCTCGTGTCCACAAATGACTCAGCAAAACTGTTTTCTGCACTTTTTAAGGGAAGCTCAAAAACGTTCCAGCCTCTCTCTCTTCCAATTTTTGGTGGTAACCCATTTCTCGGACCAACCCTGACGCGTCGATAGTATGGTGATACGATTAACTGAATAGCGGCGTCACATAAAAATGCATCTGAAGCCGTGCATAATGGAAATGCAACTCGAAGGCATTTGCCTGTCAAGGGTGTGATATAAGAATGTTGCATATCACTTCCTTGTTTTTTTTTTATAAATAATTTTTAATGCTTTTCCTTAAAATCCAACGCCCATTTGAATCTAACGTCGCATCTAACTCTCTTATTTCCATATTTGATCTGGAAAACCTATAAAATGAGATCCCACTGTAGTCAGCCGTCCTGAAGAGAGGAGGGGATTCTATCCCACATATGATGACAGGACACTGGGAGACATTCGTAAAGGAGGGCGCCACTAGGGATGCAATGGGTCCTAGCCGAAGGTGGACGACACCCAGCCACTTCCCTTCCCTGAAAAGAATCATATACAGTCGTCCCTCGCCACTTCGCGCTTCGACTTTCGCGGCTTCACTCTATCGCGGTTTTTTCAAATACCTGTATATTGGGTAATACGACTGTAATGGTGACTAAAGAGTGTTATTTCATGTCTAGAATCGTATTACCCAATATACAGGTATTTGAAAAAACCGCGATAGAGTGAAGCCGCGAAAGTCGAAGCGCGAAGTGGCGAGGGACGACTGTACATGAATTCTTCATCGGCGCCCCCAAACCCCTCCCACCCTTCATATTGTAGTTAGTGGCGTAGGCAGGATTTTGCCAAAGGGGGAGCCAGAGTGAACCGAGGGGAGTCCCTAACTTCTCCTGGAGGCGGGGGGGCCAATGCACTTCGACAAGAGTTAGGGGGACTGAAGCCCTCCCCTCGCTATGCCACTGATTGTAGTGCGAGTTTGCGAGAATTTCCGGAGCAGCAAACCTTCCAAAAATATAGACTTTATCAATTCTTGAAATTACCATAAATCTTGAAGAGATTCATACATATCTGGCTGCGCTACTAGACCTACCTATGCCAAATCTCATTGCTGAACTCTAGGTTTCCAATAATTTTTGGATCTATTGGATTTTTTTCACCCCTCCATCCATCTACACGGCGTAAAAAATTTTCTCACTTTTTGTTTGGGCTTGGAGAGGGAAGAGTGAATACTGTATATTGAAAAATTCAGAGCCCCCAGAATGGGAAAGGCGAAGGGGCTGAAGGAGGTCTCTCCCCCCCCCCCCCACACACACACACACACACAATCTCTTATACGTCAAATAATTTCAATAACTTGAAGGGGTAAGGCGATAGTTCAAATGTGCATTTCCTCATACGCCTAATTGTGTACATTCAAACATCTTGGTGGAACATGTTGCCCAGATACGCACACACTTTATCCCCATCAACTCACTTGCTTTGTCAAGAAATGAAAAGTTACAGAAAACCTCAGGAATGGAATTCTGTCTGCGTTCCTGGCCTGGCTTCAAAGGCACAAGGAATGGGAAAATGAGGGGCTCAGGTAGGGAATAACAGGAAAAGGCAGGGAAGAGGGGGGGGGGGAATTTGCCCCCTTCTTTCAATCTTGAGTGCTGGTCACACAGAAATACTATGTGAAGACTCTTTTCGTATCCTGCGCTACTTACCACTCAACAGGGTATGAACGCAGCCATGGCTGCGCTCTGTCAAGGGTAGGCCTTAGAGGGCGGTTGGCTGTAAGGCGCGGTAGGCCGAGCAGTGTTCGGTTGGATACATATCATGAGTGTTTACCCGTGAGGCGAGACATTAATAGCTGAGGCTCACGATGAACCAAATGTGTGCATGTATGGAACGTGCGGACGCCGCTGAGAGAGATAGTGATGATGCTTTGTGATAGGAGGAGGATGTGAGCATTCCCCAAGTGGAGGACGCGAACATTTCTCAGTCAACATCCAACGCAAGAAGCAAGGAGGAGGAGAAAGACAGCCGATCTAATGTGAATTTGAAGGAAAATACGAAACAGTCTGGGAGCCCAACATCTTCAACGTCTAGTTTGGAAGGCATCGACATGAGCCCACAAGATTCATTTTTCGAGGTCAGTTAATCTTGTTAAACATTTCTGTTCAGAACTCATTGCATGGCTAGGTATTCACCAACAGGAGTGATTCACTTTTTAAGATGGGAAGTATTCCTCATAATGTGACCAGCAACAATGGGGCCCTGCTTTTCAAATAAAAATTGATAAGGATGAGACAAAGCATGCAGGAAGAGAAATCCTTATACAGACAAGGTATATATTGTAAACCTAAATATTCCAGTTTGCCTTAGTGCTGAGAGGTTTGAGGATGAATATTATGTTGCAGGACTATTACATCATAGCACTTCTTCAGCAGGATATGTTTCAGATCCAGATTGAGAATGCACCCTTTCTCACTGATTATACCTTCTGTAGTGCATGGTTAAAAACAGTGCTGGTGAAAAGCAATGATTGTATTCAATATGAAAATTTTCAGCATCATTTCAGGTAGGAATGGTCTCAAAAGAACTTTTTTAAACAGTCCAGCACTCATTCTAACAGTGTGGTACAATCATGACCTAGACTTAGCCCTTTGTTACCATATTAATTTATTTTGTTAGGGGCAAAGTTGCAACTTTACCACTTGAGTCTCCATTTCAGCCCACTTTGTTTCCATGTATTTTAAAAATAGGCTCATTGCATAGGTAATAAGAGAGTCATTCATCTGTTTTTGGTCAGGTGCTGTACATTGGCCGGATCAAGGTATCACACCGTAAAGGCCCTCCATCCTTTGTGGATGATGCTCTAGAAGAACTTCAAAAGCATGAGTTAGAGAAGCTTCATAAGAATGAGATGCTTCAGGAGAAAGCAAAGACACCCGAGATGATCATAGAACAGCGAGGAAAGTCTCAGTCAGTCCTCAGTCAGCAAATGAAGCAGTCAAGTGAAAGCTGCAGTCCCAAATCCATTTCAAGTCTCACTTGCATTGATGGCACAAAAGAGCATGAGAAGAGTCCATCGAGTCCAGTGACCACCAAACCCCCTATTAGTCCAACATGGAGTACTTCCATCAAAGATAAGTCTCATGATACTCAGAAGAAGATCCACTTCTCTGATCAAGAACCACAAGTTTTCACAGGTCCTGTAGACATCCCATGCAAGCCAAGGTCATCAACATTTAGTGGAGTGGAAGTAAATGTGATCTGTGCAACACCAGAAAAGAATATCGGCAGCTTGCCTGCACAAGTGAATAGACAAGTTGATCTTTCAAGTGATATATATCCTTAGGTTATGAAGAAAGAATTGTAATTTTTCTCATGCTTCATTTTGTAGGTCAATGGGAAAGTGGACAATCTCCCTCATTCCATCCTGCGTGTTAGGTCTGCAAGTGGTGACTCCTCACCCAACAGGGGGAGCAGCCCTGTGAAACATGAATCTTCCCCTCCCTTCATGTAAGGTTCTTTTCCTTGGTTTTTACTCTTCTCTTCACAATTGTTCTTATGTGGATTTTTAATGTCCCAGAAATGGCAGTGGAGAAGGTCGGAATGGACTGCAGAAGATTGGAAACATTCAGTCAAGGGGACAGTCCTCCCCAAATAAGACCATGCTCTTGTGCATTGGGGTGTCTGATGTCCGCCTTGTCAGTCCAGATCGCAAGTCAAGCCTTCTCCAGAAGCACATTCGGGAAATCTCACATTGCTCTCAAGGCATAAAAAATGATGATCATTTTGGCTTCATTTGCCGTGAAATGCATGTCAATTCATATGTAGGATACATCTTTCGTTGCAAGTCTTCAGCAACTGTGGAGCATATCATAAGGAGTGAGTGACTTTTCACCTCTTGTATTTATTGACTTCTGTTTCTGAAAGTATTGCTGTTGATCTCAATGTCGTTGAATTTCATTTTTAGCTTTGAGAGGTTCCTTCAATAAGTTAGTGGAAGTTCAGCATCAGGAGATCTTGGCTCGAGGCTTGTGCTCTCATTGCCCTCTGGCTTGGTATGAACGCCTCTGTGCCAGCATTGATGGTCAGCATGGTTTTCAAACTTACAGTAGCAATTCTGTTTGTTATAACCACTTCTGTTGAGCACTTTCATTCTCTTCCCAATGCCTCAGGAATGTCACTGAAGGAATCCTATGGAGTTCTGATGTCACGTGTGAGCATGCTTCCTGAAGTGGACAGATCTATGCTTATGGCCAAGCTGGCAGGTGGTGAGCCTTTTCGCTCGCTTCAGGAGAAGAATACATTGCTTATGATGCTTTTACGTGCCCATTGTGAAGCCAAACAGGCAGAGCACAGTCATGTTTTCTACAAGTGAGTTGAGTCACAATTTGTTGCTGGAGCTCTAATTCCTTAATGACAGTTGAAGTTTGTTGACCTTTTGAGGATGTGCACGGAGGTACTATGCATTGTTGCAGGGAGGAGTTGATGGAAAAGAGCACTTCTTTCCCATTGTTTCTTGATCGAGCCAAGCGTACTTTCCTTACATCACTTGATACATTCAAGAGGAACCATGAAGTCCCAAAACCAATAGAAAATCAGTCCCAGGTTTGCTGCCACATATCCTTTTTTCAGTAGCATGAACTGAACTTGTTTTTTGGCTAATATATGAGAATTATGAGGGAAGTCAAAGCAGAAGTTTGATTTGAGATCTTGTCTTCCTATTTGGACAGAAGATAGTCATGCCATCACCAAACACTCCTTCAAGTCAGGACTTTGAGTGCCGTTCACACAACACATCAGTCTCCTGCATTTCATCCACACCAGGGCCAGGGGTGTTGGCATCACATTCTACTTCCTCCACAACTCAGTCATCAATGCACCAGCCCCTTCCAGTCAAACGTGTCCCATCTGTGGATCGAGAGGATCGGAGCCTTTCTCCTATTCCTCAAATATCTCGGCCTCGATCCTCTACACTCAGCTCAGCTGAAGGAAATCATATTAAGAAGGAACTTCGGCAAATATCCCATTCTTATGAGCAGCCTTGGGTAGATAAAGCTCCAGAATTGTGAGTAATGATTGCACAAGTGCCATTCTGTTATTCATGGTAAAAGTGGCACTGTATCTATTATTACTCTTTTTTTTTTTTTTAAAGGAATGAGGCTCAGAATAAAGGGCATCCTGTCAAAGTGGCAGATTCTGGTTCTATGAAGCAATTGGGTCGTAAGATCTCATGGCGCCAAACCATCTTCAAGCATGTCATTGCTCCGAGTAAGAATTCACCAGCTTTCAGCAGATACTTTGAGTTAGTTATTGCAAAGACATTGGTACTACCATAGTAAGTTAATTTTATTTGTTGTTTCCAGGTGCACCAAAGGCCATCAATTTTTCATCACCTCCTCGTACTAAGAAAGAATTGATGATCTTATGGAAACGGAAGGTCTTTCAGCAAATTCTCATTATCCGCTTTGAACGGCTTAAAGAGCATCTCAAGGGTTAGCATTTCCAGTTCTTACATATAGCAGGTATTGGAATGAATGCTGTATGGCATTCTTACCTGATATTATCCGTGCAGAGAAGCAAATGGACACAAAAACAGAATTGCTGCGAAGGTCCTATGATGATGTGGGTCATAGCATTGAGGCTGAGGAAGCTTGGGCCCTTCTCTTGAGTCACTCCTCATTTGACACCTTCGAAACAAAACTCCTTACAGATGCTGTTAAAGAAGGTAGGAGCTGTTTCCTTGTCATTTTTCATTCTGTATGCTACTTGTGGTTTTGAGTTTTGGGTATTTTTTTTATAAAGGCATTCCCAGTGAACTGAGAAGGCAGGCTTGGATTCTCTTGGCACAGCAGTTTCAATCCTCTACTCCTCTTCCCGATGATGTTGACATTGATACCCCCTATACATCTTTATTGGGACAGCTGACATCACAGCAACATCAGATACTCATGGATTTGGGTAAGTGAACATGTGCAGCAGCATTTTTGTAGTGCTGTGTATGTCCTCTGTTCATGAGTACTGGAGATGATGATAAAGAAACCTTTTCCCCCAGGAAGGACATTCCCAACCCACCCATACTTCAGCCAACCCTTAGGACCAGGACAGTTGGAAATGTTCAACATCCTCAAAGCATATTCCTTGTTAGATAAGCAAGTGGAATATTGTCAGGGACTCAGCTTCATAGCTGGGCTTCTCCTCATGCATGTGAGTCTTCCGCTTGTGCAGCTGAGCATTCAAGTGCGTAGTCCAGTAACTCCAGGGTGAAGTCAGGTATTCTCATGGTAGATGGGGGAAGAGGATGCCTGGGAAATGCTCCTTCACCTTTTGATCAAGTTGGGATTGAGAAATTATTTTGCTGAGGACATGGGTGGCCTGCATCTTGCCCTGTATCAATTGGCAAGACTTCTCTGTGATAGACTCGATCGCCTTCACAAGCACCTGGAGAGCCTTCAGGCTTCCCCAGGCCTCTTTGCTCCCCAATGGATTCTCACTATCTTCTCTGCCATTTTTCCCATTGGATTTGCCATTCGAGTCTTAGGTGCATTCTTGTTGTCACACCTCTAATAATTCTAGTTTTTTGTCAGAAAGATAATGCATTTTATCTTATGCAGATTTATTGTTCCTGCAAGGCAAAGATGCCCTGTTGAAAGTGGCCATTGTGATCATGGATTTGTACAAGGAGGATCTCCTTTCCAAGACAACATGTGAAGAGATCATGACATGCCTCAAGTCAGACATTCCTATTCAATCCATGAAGGATGCTAACCTCATCATTAGACAGGTTCGTTCAATTCACACTGCTATATGCTCTTCTGTAAAATCCCTGGATAACCATTGCCTCAATCCAATATTTACTTGACTTTATTTAATCCCAGGCTGCTGATCTTGACATTGACAAGGAGCTCAAGACTTACCACATCGAGTATGAAGTGAGTTTGTTGGCTGTTTGGTGCATGTCTGAAGCAACCTCTTGTTTTATGCAGTGTCAGTGCTTATTTGAGCATTGGTACTCTTGTGTTACATGGTTCTCTTACAATTGTCTTACAGATCTTGAGTGAACAAGAGTCTCATTTCCATGAGCAAGAGAAGCAGATGTCTTCAGTGAAGCGCCTTCAAGCCCATAATCGTAACCTCCTAGAGCAGCTGTGGAAGGCATCCAATACAATTCAGCGACTTGAGGGTGTCTTGGCTCAGCACCAGGTCATGGAAAACAAGTTGCAGTCAAAGCTAAAGTTGGCACATGCCAAAATCAGTCAGATGAAGCAGCAATCAAAGGCATCAGAACCTTCAACTCCCAGCCCCACTCCAGAATCCCAGCAGAGTACTCCAGTAAAGTCAGCTCGGATGTCAGTGATGAGCATTCCACAGAACAAGCTTGTGCGAGAAACAGATATGATCCTGTCCAAGGAAGCCCTGGAAGAAGCTAAAGCGTCCATGGAGCGAAGTGATGTGCCGATGCAACCTGAGGACCCTGACATTGATATGACCCCTATACCATTGATCAGTATCAAGCCACAGGATTATATTCTTAATGTAGCTGGAGGAAGCAGTTTATATATGAAGCCTAACAAAGGTGTCACCCCTCCAAGCATCATCCCTCATCTCATTGATGTACCAGTTGAGAAATCGGAAGCTCTGAGTTCGACTCCTGTTGCTGATGTGTCTCCTTTGAAGCTTAGTAGTTATGAGCGAACCAAGTCACTATCAGAGCCCTCTAACAGATCTTTTGATGAGTCAATTCGTTTGACCCTGTTTGAGTCTGAGGTTGACTTAGAGGATTCTCCTGAGCACATCTGTCATCAGCAACTTGCATTGGTTTTTGCAAACTTGACTCAGGAGATATCGAGTCTTGGGAGGTGGAGGAAGGACCTCCATGAAGCAGAGACGGGGTTACTGACTGAACGAAGTGATCTGTTTTCCTTTGAAGCCATCTCTCACCTGGCTGATGCCAAGGCAAAACTCCAGTCCTGTGAGCTCCAGCTAAAGACTGTGTGTTTTTCCCTCAAGGCAGCCATGTCTCAAATCCTCCCTTCATCTTTATCCGACTGAGATTCCAAAACCAAAAAGCTTGCTTCCATCTCTAGGCTTCATTCATACCTCAGGAATCCTATGGTTTGATCATCTCTAGGTCACTGAACCTTTTGGTTCTCATCTTGGTGTCCTGATGACAGAAATATGCAAGTGCACAATGCAGCACAATTGAGTGGTCATGCTGTCATTCCCAATTGGAATGCAGTGGTTTTCTTACCAAATGCTGGCATTAAATCCTCTTTCCCCATTCAGCATCTGATTAGTGGTATTTGATTACTCATTTGTGGAAGTGTTTTGTCTTGATTGATGGAAGGTGCTTGTCTTATGATCTCTCAGAGTGGAGGCTGAGTTATTTTATTTGAGCAATATTTCTTCTATCCTGTGTTGTCAGATATAGTGTTTAGCAAAATCTTCCTAGCTATTTATTTCCTTTTATGCAGAAAAGTGATTTCATGTTCATGTCCTCTTTCTCTTCCTTTTGATAGAAAATCTAAAAATTCAAAAGGCAATGCCATAAGTTGTATGATAGTGGGATTTAATTAGCTTATGGCATCAATTAATTCAGGGTATCACAATGGAACTAAAAATGAATGTTGAATATTGTTAAAGATATGTTGCACAGTGTCTGTGTCATTATAAATTATGTGATCTATTATTGTGAGAATCCTGGAAGTATCCTTGGCTTAGCAGCTTTCCTCTTCTGTTCTGATGGAACTTTGACAAAAATATTTTTATCCAACACATTCCTAGCCTCTACAAACCAGTGACTACAAAACTCTAATAGCGACGGGAAATGTAGTAATGCCAGTGATAACTGATAACCCAGAAAATAAATTTATTTTTCTCATGACCTAGTCAAAGTTCACTGTCTAGTCCTCAAAATGTCCATGAAACCATGTCATACATTATATGCTGCAATCTTTTCATGAATTTTGAATCTCTTAATTATTGTCCTCCGTTCTCAAATTACATTTCCTCCACTTGATATTGTCTGATTGGAATCTCCCTTGTTGAGTGTGCCTTCTGTTTCTTTGATCAGGGATTAGTACTGTGCTTTATACTATTTCTTTATTGTGCCTTTAAAATGAACGTTGTGATTATGGAAAATGAAGGTGACTTACAGCACTTGGAAATAATCTGTCCATCTTTTCCTCTGTGAGCTGAGAGTGACGTTAGTGATAGAAATCCGGAGGAGAAGGCATTTGAGAATGCGGAACTCACGCGTCCTCCTCATTTTCGGCTTTCACATATGGACATGAATTCATTCCAGAGAGTCAAGGATGAGAGAACGTTTAAATCGCTCTCGTAATAGATCTGCCCCTCTTCCAGCATCGCGGAGGCATAAATATCTGAAAGCCTGAAATATGAAAGAATGGTGAAGTCGATGCCTCTCCCTGCAGGTTCGTAATACCACTGATGAGGGCTCTCATCCCACCTAGAATCATGTATAATTTCCTTACGAACAGTCGTCGGTAGTCTTCACAGATGTGGTTTATGTTGATGACTGAGAATTTCGTGTCTCGGCTTTGTCAGCGCTTTCCATGGCAATTTAATATGGGAGTGATCAGAGATGCACTGAACTCAAGCCAAAAACTTTCTTGTAACAGGCTCTTTGTTATATGCCATACTGAATGGCAATTCACCCTTTCAATAGGACTTCTGTTTTCCCTCAAATCTTTGCTGCACATGCTGCTACAAGTTTTTAAATTAATTTCAAATAGTGTCTCCAAATGGAGACGCTGCCACGAAAGGGGTTAATATCAGAGTAAGCTATAACAGACGAGGCAAATGGACGAAGAACCATATCCATGCATAAATAAAGGGGAAGAGAAAAAAAAAAGAAAAAAGCTCGTAGAGAGCTCGTGGAGGCTCATCGAGAGTACCGTACATGTACGTACATTTTCAGAATGCTTCAAGGTGTAGCAAAGGTACTGACTGCATGGCGATGCCTGACCCTCTGCTCTGGCTTTCTCCTTGCAGTTCTGCGACTGCATCGAGTTCTAGAGTCGTCGACCCCTTTTATATGTCGTCTGTGTCTCGCCACTGGAGGGACTGGGCCTATGCAGATTTCTTTTCCGCAAGTTTGGCATTTTAAAAAGTCGTAAAAACTTTCAGAAATCAAGGAATGCATTGATGCGAGAATGCTCCTGGAATGCCATACCGAACGTCATTTACATTGATAAAGTTCTTGGCACAAAAAAAAACCATGAAATTTCCCTTCGTGATGAACTAAGAGGGTCATCCTACATCCGTCCAGTACTTAAGAAATTATCCATCTTTATAGTGTGATTCGTATCCAAATAGAAGCGGTCATCGTAGCAAGGTGTTGGGAGGCGTTATGTGAAGAGAGAAGGAGGGAAGAGGAGGGCGTTGGCTTTCGTATCACACCACAGAGAGACGGTTGGGGTCCGGGCTCGGCCGGGCTACTCCTTAGCTTGTACTCTTCTCTGGCCCGGGGCTATCGGGTGTGGTAGCCCCGGATAGGCTCGGCTCTCTCTCTCTTTACCCTCCGGCCTTTCTCGTCTTCTTCTTCCCAAGGCCCGCCTTCCCTCCCTTCACACACGCATACTCACTCCGAAGACGGACAGGTCTTCTTCGTCGCTTCCATGTGAGTCGTGTATTCTTTATCGACGTGAATCTGTTTTTCTGTCTCTCCGGCGAAGCGTGTTTGGTGCCAAACTCGGTTGGGGTTGGGGGAGTGTCTTGTCCAGTGCCCCGGGGGTGAATCCTTTCTTGCCCCACCTCCACCCCCCGAGCCGAGGTCATTGAATCCTTCCATCTCGACCTCCCTCCTTCCCCTTTTATGATCTAGAGGTGCGTTGCCATAGTGGCTCGGCTTTGTCTTGTCTGACCAGTCTTCTTCCGTGCGCTTGTGTGATCGTGAGCCTGCAGCTCTTCGTTGTCCTTCGCTTCCAAAAGGTGGGAATGGATTAATTGCTTTGAGGTCAGGACTGAAGAAGAGATGATAATTGTTAGAAAGGAAGGGGAAAGGAGGTAAGAGAATAAAAGGGGGGAAAAAGTGGAAGAAGAATGGGATGGGTATGGGGATTGGGGATAAGGCCGAAGGAGTGGCCGAAGAAGGCGTGGGCTCATCGCTTTGGTTTCCTCTCTTGCCCCGGGCCATTTGAATGAAGGGTGTGGCGCCTGGAGACAGGACAAAGGCCGACTTCTCTCTCTCTCTCCCATCATAATAATAATTGTGCACAAGGGGCCCCTTCTTCTATTGTGCAATGAAGATGCATGGCGGCGAGGCTTCTCCTCTCATTGACCATATTTCCATCGACCTTGAGAAGATCCACTCCCAGACCTTCCAGTGTCGATTACTCTCCTCGTAGCAATCATCGATCAGCGGCTTTGGTGTCCTTTATCTTGTCGGCGTGAGATGCAGATGGTGTGATTCAAGGTTCTCCCTCGAAGGGGCAAAAAGGAAAAAAAACCTTGGCATATGGGACAGGACGCGTTTCAAAAAAGATACCGTAATAATGATGGGGCTGTCATCCGTGCTGTCTTCGACCCACCTGAAGGGGGGGGTTAGCTATGCAAAACGGGAGTTGCTTTTCACCTTGAATCCTGTCGGTTCTAAGTACTGGTACCTTGAGAGAGGACTCGTGAAGACAAGAAACTTAGATCCGGTCTTTCAGGGAGGGATAGCACTCGGACGTCGGACATTCTCAAGAGCTCAAGGTACAACACGTTATCGAGGACTAGATTATACCAGGAAGGAGAGAACGGAGGGGGGGGGGGGGGGGGAATCACGATATCGTTATGACGATGACATAGTCACCAGTGTTCTCATTGACGGTGCATGTGTTTCAGGTCCAGTGGGTGAAAGGAAGCCATGGGTTCCACGAGGGGCTAGATGTTGTTGCAAATGATGACCTCAGCCCAGGTAAGAGCAAAAAACCCGATTCATTCATCTTGTAACCCCCACATAGCCTGCCGTGTTTGTTGCCACATGCTCCGTCTCTTTTTCTCTCGCTTCTTCTTTCGCCCTTACTCGGCAGCGGCAGACGCACGAGACCGAAATCTTATTCGAAACTCTTGTTTGCTTATGCCGGCATGTCCCTACCATCTCCTTCGATTGGACGCGAGCCAGCATTTTCTTCCATATCAGGTCGATATAGGAGCGCTTGCTTTCCAATCTAACTGGGGTCGATATCGGGGCACGCATCACGAATTGTTACGAGCCCTTTCGAGATCTGAGTCGGTGATTGATTCGGCCGGTTTTCTCGTAGTGGAACGGGATTACGTAAGTGGCCCTTATTATGTCAACAGGGCATCCAATTACAAGAGATTCCATGCTGGTCTTTCCCTTTACACCCCCTACCAATCGAAACAAATAGGAACCGATTTCCACTGGCCTTGAGTTTCGACGAGGAAAGGTTAAAAGAAACAAGGAAAATGGAAGAGAATGCGCGACGTGGGATTTAGCAGAGACCGACAAGCATGAGGCTGATATAAAATACTAGAGGGAAAGAGTCGTAACTTGTCATCCGAATGTCTTCGCATGATTAAATGCCCCTCCGTGTGCATGGCTACGTGCCATCTGGTCCTGGTACTTCCTCGACCTCGTGTTGAACACCCATCCATTAAGCTTTCGGCGTTATCTGGGTCTTCCGAAGGGTAAAGAAAAAATGAAGATTGAAAGTGGTCCTCCAGGCTCCTCCTCTTGTACGTTCCATCGCGTCTAATTAATGCCCCCCTCTTGACAAACGTCGCATATCCCGAGTGGCTTTGCCCTAGGTCTTTCACTTTCCCGTCTCGCGCAGGTGTGGCAATGACGAGATCATCCCTGCCACCTCGAATGAGGGGGATGGAGATGAGTCTTTCTCGATCATCCCCCCCCGCAGTTCAAGTGCACGTGTCGGTACTGAATCCAAAACGAAGAGCGTGGGTTAGTGCATGATCCTCATAAAGATGGATGGAAAGCCAGTAAGCGATACGGATTAGAGGGGAATAAATGGGCGAGGTGATGTGTGAAGAGAAAGTTTCTCTTGGGTCTGGGGATTTCATACATCTTTCCCTATCTGGACGAGGAAGTCAGAGACGAGTGAATTTCCCCATCCTTGATCTCATCTCCTTTATCAAGAGACACGGACTTTTCCTTCCTCCTCCTACACTTACTTCTCTCTTTTATACGACCGAGTACTTGAATAAGAGGATCCGCAGAGAAATCTGAGGAATCCCTTACTCTTTCCATGTGAGAGAGAAAGGGAAACAGGTAATCTTCCCTTGATTACTCCGGCGTGCTCCGGAAGCCGAAACCAGTTATGCAAATTTTACTTCGTGTTAGTGAAATCGAGTGGTGCTCGGCATGAATTTTTTTGTGTAACGAGTCTGAGTGTGGGAAGGGGTTGTAATGATGTCGTTGTGGGTTGAGACTAGAGGACCACCTAGAGTGTACTTGATTCCCCGGATACCTACTGTTTGAAACGAACTAACCTTCCGACTCGCTGCCATACGTCAGAGAACTGATTTTTTTTCTTTCACTTTAGGTGAAGTATGGGAAGAATTTTGGGCTTTTCCCGTCGTCCTCAAGCGGTATGGGTCATTTTCTTGAGGCTCGGGAGAGTATAATATAATTTAATCGTGCAATGGAATCGTGAAGGATTGCGGAAATTGACAAAATGGTCACATACGATACAATAAGGGGCGAGAAAGTCATGTAACGATAGCTTCTCTAATGACGAGAAACCTGTCAATTTCATCCTACGGGCTTGAACTCAGTAATGATTTATGCGGGGACGAGTGTGTGATTTTATTCGTTTCATTTCCATAGTGAGAGATGGTTGTTCCTTGTTCCTAGGAGGCGTCGCAGGCGCCTGTGCAGACTGAGCCAGTGGATCTGAGCTTAGGAGGAAAGAAGTCGTTTATGTCATCGGGGGTGAAGGCGAGGAAGGGGAAGAGAGATCATCACCACTATCTACCACCCGAGGTGGCTTACGACCCTCCTGCCTATTTTCCCTTGATTCCCCCTTCTGCGGCAGGGGTGGTACACCCTGGGTTCATCCCGGGTGCACCCCCCATCTTCCCCCCGGCCCCTTTTTTCCGCCTAAAAGCCGCGGCCGGTTTCCCGCCTTTGCACCTCGGCCTCGGCTATCACTTCCTCACGGAGAACGATGTAGCCCTGTCGAACTGCAACTCGGATTCCCCTCCTTCTTCCAAGCCTTCATCCCCCAGCTCCCGACGGACGCTTCGGGATTCTTCGCATTCTCCTGGTAAGAATCCCTTTGTCCGACAGACAGATTACGCATGGGATCGATCATAATCCCGCGTGCATGCTTTGGAAAGGCAGGAGGAAAGTTTCCTGTCTGACCTTACTCGAACAAGGAGCAGGTCGAGAACGAAAGGAAAGGCACGTGATTCCTTGCACCTGTTCATCCTTGGGCTGCACTCGCGTAACACGCGGAAGGAAGGGGATGAGCAAGGACGGGATACACGATACGCCCATTTTTATTCCTGTCAATGCGTTTGGAAATAAAAAAAATACTCTGAGAGAGGGAGCGAGTGCCGCCAGTGTTACGCAAGAGGAGACGATGGAAGCGAAAGTTTGTTCATCTCGTCTCGTCTTACTCAAATGTCTAACTCGTATCGATCGTTTAGTGACGCCGCACTTTCCCATCGACCTTCTGGAACTCTCAAGTGAAGTTTGGCACGGAGTGCTAAACGATCCCCGCCGCTTTTCGTTTTCTTTCTCCACGGAGAAATTACAAGGAATCCGATTTGAAAATGTCTATCGTGGACCTGACGTCTCGGTAGTGTGTGAACATGTGGGGGCCACTGTGAAGGGGAGACGCGGTCACACAGACAGTGTCCTTGTCACCGATTCTCTGATGAGGAAGATGCCCCCAATTCTCTGTTCCCTGCCTTATTTGAATGGATAGTTACACAATCTTTGGTGTCCCCGGGGCGAAGAGAGGAGACGCGAGGCTCCATCCCCGCCCTTCAAAATCTCCTCCCTCTCGCTTTCCTCCCTCCTCTCTCCTCTCGCTTAGCTGCACACCATACGCATACACGTACACGTACACTCACATGCATGGCACATCTCGCGGTCAATAGGAAGAAGCAGGGAAGACTTTCACAACCGAAGGTGCTTGCGAAGCATGAAGCATTCATTCATCCACCACTCCTTTTTTTCCTGCTTCTTTTCCGTCCTCGATTAGATCACTGTGACTCGAGAGATTTTCATGCTTCCATGCCGGTAATTCACTTTCAGAGGCGTACGCCATGAAGGGGGGATTTGGAATCTGCTTGAAGGTGTGGGGAATGGGGGATTCATGAATTCTTTTTTCGCAGAGCTTGGGGAGGTGAAAGAGGAGCCAGTGGAGAAAGAGAAGGAAGAGGAAGAAGATGAATTGGAATCTGGAGACGGAAGCGAATGCAGTAGTCCCCCTTCTCCCAATCCTTCCCAACACAAACACAATGGCCATCTCAACTTCCTTCCGCTTCACCAAGCACCTAAACGAAATAACTCCCTGTGAGTAAACCTCGACATGCAATCCCACCCAAGGAAAGGAAAAAAAAAAAGGAGCCGCGATGTTTGGATTGTGTGGGTAATCGGGCAGAAGTGACGTTTGAAGCATGTTGATGATCAGGGATGCCATTAATTCCAAGTCCAAGCATTCCCTGAATTGTCCTCTGCAAATACTGGTATACCGAGATGTGACTTGTTTCTTCCCATCAGATACGAGGGAGTGAATGATGGAAGCCTATTCGGTCCCGATTTAGAAGGACTGAAGAAGCGGAAAGTGCACAAGTGTGACTTCCACGGCTGTGATAAGGTCTATACAAAGAGCTCTCATCTCAAAGCTCACAAACGGACCCATACCGGTGAGGATGTTCACTTCAGCAAGATCATCACCTAACATTTTGATCATCTTATAACTTGATTCCTTTTTTCCCCTTCTCTTTTCTCTTGACAGGCGAGAAGCCGTACGAATGCACGTGGGAGGGGTGTACGTGGAAATTCGCTCGAAGCGACGAGTTGACCCGACATTACAGGAAGCACACGGGACAGAAACCCTTCCAGTGTCGACTGTGTCAAAGATCTTTCTCGCGCTCTGATCATCTTTCTTTGCACATGAAAAGACACTGACAGCTCCACGCAGCAGCTTGCTTTGTGATATGTGATTTATTGAATCCCTTCCCCCCCCCCCCCCTTATTCCATGTTCTATGCCTGCCCCACTCCTTTTCCAGTTCAAGTTTTGCTGGCATGATTCAAAGTCTTGAACAAGAATTGATTATTCTTTGCACCTTCCCGTTGACCCATCCCATTTCATTTGTCGATCAATTTTCATGAGATTGGGAACGCAATGTTTTTCAGAAGTGGATTTTAATGATATCCACGTTCATCATAGGGAGTGTCGAGAGTCGACCAAGCAGACGAGGATTATCAACTTAGAGGCGAGTCCTACCAGACGCCTCGGGTGCCGTCACTAGAGATGCCGATGTGAGTAACTCACTAGTGTTACTTCACAGGTCCAGTTCACACCTTCCAGTTCACTCCTCCTAGTCTTCGTGCTTCCAAAGCAGACTATTGACAACTTGGGCTCGTAGTTAAAGTGAGAGTTCTCAAGTGAGGAAGGAAATCTCGCATTGTGTTGCTGTTTATTACAGCGAGAGAGGAATGAAGAAAAGCACAAGTCTTCCCAGCCCACGTTGGGCTGTTAGGTGTCATGCACTGGGAATAGCTGGTTAATGAGAAGGGACGTTCCATTCTAAATTGTCCCCGGTTTTGGGTATGTTGAAAATGAGTTACTCCTTGAATTTCTCATGGGACACCCAACTCTGCTTATCGGAAGCACGCAGCAATTTTTAAATCCCGTGCAATAATTTTTCCTCTCCCAAAAAGTAATGGGTGCACTTTGGGTGAAATTTGACTTGTTAATACATGTGGTTTGGAATGCGTGGTTCATCTCAGAGAATGCTAGTTTGGCTCAAAAACAAATATTTTGAGTTCATGGCAGGCTTAAAAAGAGTCATCAACCATAAGTAAAAGGTTTTTTTTAAAAGTCATTTTCACATTTCTAGGATTGTCTCCACATTTTCAGTTCTATTAACCTGAGATTTCATGAACTTTCATCGTGTTGTGGCACCTGGCATTTTGCATTTGCATTACTGCACAGCAAGATATGTTTCATATTATAGAGAAGATGAGAGATCTACACTGTCATTGCCATCTTCATCAGCCATTTTTGAGCCAGTGGAACAATTTGGCAATTGCAGTATGTAGGATGATGGCCTCTCACTCATGTTCTGCTAATCCATCTCACTTTGATTAGTTAAGTAATTTTTCTCTGCCTTTTTCTGTGATCCTGTGTTTCCAGTCTCTTCTCTAGGGATTACATTCTATGACCTTTTTCATCCATCATCAGTCAATTCTCCAGGCAAGGTAGCGAGCCTACTTTTTCCTCTCTGCTTTCTTCTTCAAAATATCCTGTAGTCATGTCAGTTCCTGGATCTGGATATTTTCCTTGCATCTTTTTTGTCAGGCTCCTTGTCTTGGATCTGTAGGTCTGTGGAAGAAATACAGCGGTTGAAGAATTTTGCTCTTCATGATGATGCTGAGCTTCCAAGGTGCTCTTCAGCCAGCAATAGTACTTTTCACTACCCCTTGATGTGGGGTCATTTCTACCAGTTGTCCCTGCTAGATTCACTGGTTCACAAGTTCTAGTGTCTCCTTGACTTCCTTTGGAACTGAATAATCATTGAACATAACTTTTGGTGTTTTCATGTTCAGAATTATTCCTTCACTTTTGGCGCTAGTTCTTTCAACATTTTTCTCAGTGTTTCTCCAGGTTTCGACATGAGAACTTGCAATTCTGAGTTTTATAAAGGTATCTCCATCAATGGTGGAGATTTTGGCATTTTCCTGTCTAACTCCCTATTTATCCTTACAATTTTTCAGTCCTTATAAAAGCAGATGGTGGTTGTGGGCTTACTTCAGATTTTTTGGAGCCATGCATGGAAGGCATTTAGATGTCCTGGTTTTCCAGCATTATAATGACTGGGATGTCCACTGAAATTTCTAGACTATCTCATAGTCAATAATGGTAAGCATAGTGGCCTCTTGTGCTCTGATGATTACTTGCTCAGCTGGTTGAAGTTGTGCAAGCAGCTGACAATTGAGAATTCACTCCTGAAGTCAAGCTGATCTTGGTTGATTTTCATTGAGTATTCCTTTCATTCTTTTGTTCAGGATTCACCAAAAAGCCTCATGGACCAATTGTTCTTGAGATCTGTTTTGTCTTTATTTTTATGGAGAAAGAGCATCACTTCATCAATGCTGTGAGGACTTTTCAATGGAATCCGTGCCAAGATCCTTACTACTTATTTATGAGTTGCCTCTCCTGCATCCTTAACCCTTTGAGGAGTGGGTTTTTTTAACACAGAAAATCACCCATAGTGAATACATGAAGTTGCAGGAGCATGTCAGCCTGTATATATACGGGCATACTCGTCAAAGGGTTAATGATGTCTATAAGTAGCCTATAATCCCTGGGTGCTTTGAGCAGCTCAGTATTTCTGGGGTGTTTTAAACCATGTCACATGGCATTTATACCTGTCAGCTTGCCTGACATTGGCCATAGAGTACCTGTTACAGATAAGTGCAGATCAGGAACAGAACGAAATGATTTAGTTAAATGATCCATCCAGGCAACTGACTTTGGATATTGGGACTTTGAGTGTGATGACACTGAGTTGAAAAGAACTCTTGGAAATAGCCAATGAGTAACAACTCCATCTAGTTGACTGTGCATCAGCTGAAAAAAAAGCTTCCATCTCCCAATTGATTACCAGCAGACCCTCTGCTAGAGTTGAATCAACCCAACTTTGCTTGTCCTGGCAGAACAGGTATATTCACTAGTCCCTGGCTAGCTGACCATGATCAAATGAATACTAGTTTTCAAATCAGGTAAAACCACCAATGTTTGAACAGTTAAGCCAGGATAGGATTGTAATTTGCTCAACACACCTTAATGGTACAACCCCAATCATTTTTTGCATCCAGCAGCACAACATGAGTAAGTATGTGTGTGATGGAGAAGATAACTATCAAAGCCTTATGGCTCTCAATAATTCCTATAAATAGGTGTCTGAGCTTAGATGCAAAAAAGAAAGAAGTTAGAACACAACATAGTTGGGACACACCAGAAGTAAGACGGAAATCTGCTCATGGCATGCGTATTCCCTTGTAGCAGTGCTCTATGTTCCCTAGTTTTTTGTGGAATAAGAATTGATTACAGAATTAACAGTACCACATAGGAAGCATTTCTAAAGTAAGGTCATCTCTGTACATTTTCTTGAATTTGTCCTGTCTATGGCATGACATTCATTTCTACCCAAATTTTGAAGTTGTGCTCAACAATCATTGCCACTACAAGTCTTTCTCTTTGCAACATGGTCATCTTGAGTTAAGAAGAACTCTCTCTGATATTGATATTGCAAATGTGTATTTATTAAATTAACAATACACGTTAGAGTGTCCGAACTTAAGTGGTTTTACCCTATGTCATTATGGCTCACCTTCAATTAGAGAGGATTGGGTCCTTAGCTGCCATCCAGGTCTATGGGTTGAAATCAGAGTATCCTGAGCTATGGTTCTTGAATGACAGGCAATATGGAAACAGGGCAGGTGATTGCATCTCTGTAACTTTGCAGTTTCCAGGAACTCTGGCAGACCATGGTTACAAAATTGGGAATCTGGAGGCAGAATTATCGGCTTTCAAGAATTTTTATCTCCCTACTCAAACATAGGGCCAGAGTCCACTTTCTAATATGACTTTTAAATATACCAAGAAGTACCTCAAATTTCCATAGTAAATCTTTCACATCTATTGGAATTATTCTCAATTGCAAAACTACATTGAGGCTCAGAAAATTTTTGATCTAAAATTTTATTCTTCTCCAGAACCATGGAGGGGAGGCTGTAGCTAGGAGGCTTACTCAGGCTCATAGACCATGCATAAGGGTATCCAGAGCATATGCAATGTGATGGCATTGCTGAACTTCCAATGGAGGACTGAATTGATCTGAACATGCAAAAAACAGGCAAGTATTCGTGAATGATGCACTTGGGAATTTTTGCATGTTTTGGTTATAATATGTATTCCACACTGGCACAGCTTGCTTTAATAAATAAAAAACTAACTAAGAAAATTAAGCCCTTATCCACAAAAAAAAGAGAATTTGTGAGATCACATCTCTAAAGCAAAGGAGTCAGGTTTTGGGACATACGAACTGTCTGTAAAGTGAAAATTCATCTGCAGATAAATTCAGCAAGCATATAAACAGGAAACAAATCCTGGCAAGATACAATTAAAAGTAGATTGCAGCATTTTAATTAATAAAATCATATTCAGACTTAATTTTGTCCTCATGGGATCATGATTCAAGATTGCAGCAACGTAAGATTACAAAATTATGAAAGAATAGCTGCAGGAACATATTGACTCCTTGGCAATTAATTGCACACCCATATCTTAACCTTTTGACTGCTACTGACGCCATATGGCGTCAGTCCCGATGGCCCAGCAGGGGATTTAAATTTTAAATACCATTTTAAAGGTCGGGTATTTAACAACTTAAATGGACATCATGTATGTATCACTCATTATGGCTCCACATTTAAGTAAATATCAAGAACAACTGAAATTTGCATTTTTGAACCCATATCTTAACCTTTTGACTGCTACTGACGCCATATGGCGTCAGTCCCGATGGCCCAGCAGGGGATTTAAATTTTAAATACCATTTTAAAGGTCGGGTATTTAACAACTTAAATGGACATCATGTATGTATCACTCATTATGGCTCCACATTTAAGTAAATATCAAGAACAACTGAAATTTGCATTTTTGGGGGGAAAACCCAGCACAGGGGGTATTACAGGCCCATAAAAACCCAGCAGTCAAAAGGTTAAAGAGCCCTTTCTCATTGTGATTGAGCTCTAGCACAAAGATGGTCAACAACATGAACTATGAAAACTACCTGGCTCTAGAGAGTGTTGAATTAGTATATTTATGATAGGGAGATGTTGCAATAACATATATTCTCAATCTTTTAAGGTTGACATTCATGATGGGATTCTTCTTATTCCACAATAACATGAAATTGTCATAGCACAATTGACAAAATTACTCATAAGAAATAAATGGTTCTTTCCACAGTGTTTTTGACTTCTTGGTGTTTAAGAAATGTTTGCAACTGTGAGACTATTGGTCATAATTATGCCCCTAAGATTATACTCAAAAGTTCAAGTCCCAGATACTATTTGCATGGACATCTCAGTGATATCAAAATATCTGTGTGCCTTTCTTTCTGAAATGGACTGATTTCCTGCCATACAGGACAACTCTTAGCTTTTCCAGGATGACTACTTAACCTTCTAGAACTCCCCGATCTTAAATTCTTAACTGATGGGAGAATAAGGGCAAAGAAGCAGGGAAATCCTTCGCTTGAAGGCCCCAATATGAGGTGAGATAAATAAAAAAAAGTTCAGAGACTGAATTTTTTATGATGATGTGGTGACTCTTCCAGACTACTGATTATATCCTGCAAACTAATCCTTATCAGCATCTACATAATTTTCCCGGTGTTTCTTCAGCCACTGGAAACATTGCTGACACTTACCTTTTGGAATCACCTGCAGTGCTTGCATTGTGCTTACAATTTTGCTTTTGAATGTCTGAAATCTCCTTCATTTCAGCACACTCTTTAGCTTAGGGAAAAAAAAGAAATTACTAGGATCTAAGTCCAGCAAGTTGGATGGTCGATGGAGCATGGGGATTTTGGGGTGGGTCAAAAAGCACTAAAACTGCAAAGGGAAGGAAATTTCAGGACATTTAAAGCAATGTTACAAATGCACCATGAGTACTGCTTGTGATTCCAAAGGACAAGTGTCAGTGATGATTCTAGCAGCTGAAGAAACACTGGAAAAGCTGTGTTGATGAAGAGGATTAGTATGAAGGATATGATCATCAGTAGTCAGGAAGAGTCACCACATCATCATAAAAAATTCAGTCTATGAACTTTTTGATCACGCCTCATATGAGAGACACATCTCCATGGAGTAAAATTTAGCTCTTTTCATGTGAAGTCACCCAGTTTCATGGATGAGGTAATTGGGCTTCATAACTTTCAAGCTGAAGCATAGGCTCAGATTTCCAACCAGGATAGTGGTACCCAGACTTGCCAGACATCATTAATGAGAATATATGGAGTAAATTTGATTAAGACCTCAAATTTTTCACTTTCCTCAGTAGCAGTTTTCCTGATGTATGGTATGGAAATCATTACTTCTTTCCTGTACAAATTAAGTTGGTAAAATTGATAGAAAAGATTTGAGATTGGAGATCACGGCACATGGGAGACATCTACCATCAAAGTGATGCACCTGACTGAAGGTGGCAAAGATTGACTGAAGAAATCTTAAAGACATCTCTTTGGGGATATTGATAAGAATTCGACAGATGTCCTGAAGACATCCCTTTCAAGATGCCAGAAAACTGTCAAGACTGAAGATGTCCTTAGGATGTCCCTTAAAGACCTTGGGACAAGTCATCCAGTTGGGGACATCCCAGGGATGTCACCATGCTGTATGAACCAGTTAATATGCCTCATTAGAACACACTAAGTTCCCATCAAGCTGTCATCATGTTGTCAACTGATGTTCCTGACCTTGGCTAGGCCTTACTGTACTTTTCACTTAGGCCCATATAGCAATGCAACCAATGTTACAATGTAATGTAATGCAATCATCATTTGCTTGAGTGGGCCTTGACTTTCGAACATCATCATGGTGAAAAGTAGCCATCCTTTCCCTGGTTTCAAGATATCATTCCATGCAGAGCCCAGCCATTTTCTTGGAAACCAAATTGTGGGATTATATTTCTTACTTGTTTTTAGTGCAGGGCTGTGCTAAGTTTTGGAGCAGTGGACCATATTGGAAGTAAAAGAATGGTGCAAATGAGACAGCCAATAAAATGTTTTCCCTATATTTTAATAGAAAAAAAAATAGAATTTTTTTTTTATAAATGAGAAATGGAATAAAAGAAACTTGAGATACAATCCTCCATGATTTTCTTTTTTACTTGAATGCAAATCATTTGATGGATCTGGCCAGCAGGCCATACTTTGGACAACTGTTTTAGTTCTTTTGACTACCCTCTCATCAGAAGTTTCAATAAATTTTTTTTAGTAAAATAACGAAAATGACAATGCACATTTCTGAAATTTCATTTAAGTGATCCACCAGGATATGGTGGAATTTTTTGCAAGTACTCAGCCAGGGAAAGGGTCAGAGGATGATCACCCTGTGAACACACTTATTTTTTTGTTAAGGTCTGCTGTATGCCATATGCTGCATCCTAACCTCACAACCTGGTTTATCCTTGTTTTTATGCATTTATTTATTTGATTTCTTATTTTTACTTGACTGCATTCATTGCCAAGACTTTCATAATTCAATGCTGACTTTACAACTCCTCATGCAGTATGCAAGAGCAGCATGTTTTTACTCAGGAAAATTTGTGAACATGTTAAATCTCTCTCTCATCTGCACACACATGCAGAGCTGCTAATTTTGTGTCTCAAGAGCATCATCCCTACTTTGATTTATTTATTTATTATTAATTTTTTTTATGAGATCAGGGCAACATGACTGGGATATGTGTGGAACTAAGTCCTTTAGGAGTGTGATTGAGAGGGGCCATAGAATCTGGTAGGGGCTAGATCTATATGGATGGTGGGCTATTTTTTTTTTAAATGCACAATGAATACAAAATTAGTCTCTACCATGTTTCTGTGCCCACCCAAACACTGGATATGAAGGATGTCATATAAGATGCCAAGCAATTGAAAAAATGCATTAAAAAATTAATAAGTTAAAAATGTTTGATTTAAGTAAAAATCTAAATTTTTTAAATTAAAGCAAAACTAATTTTTTCCAGTCCTGATGTTGACCTGTGAGATTTTCTTGATCAATCAAATTTTCAATTTGCCCCTTGCATTGAAATCATTCTCAGATATACATTGGTTTTGTCCTATGTTGGAACCTCTTTAGGGTACTGATGTATATTTTTTCGTTTTCATTAGACATGACATTGCAGTGGCCTAGCATTGAAGCGAGATAATGTAAAACAAAACCATCTTATTCAACATTTCCAGCACAATTCCAACACATTACCATAAATGAGCTCAAAACATTATCAAGAAAGTCAGACACCAATTTGTGCCTGGAGGAGAGCCACAGAATCACAGATAAAGGGAGCAGCATTGATGTTGGCATTGAGACCCCGAATGAATGCCTTCTGAAGGATCAGTGTGGCTTTGTCCTGTAGAAGAATTGTCATCTTGGGCATTCGAGACAATGCTGACAAAATCACATCCTCATCTTCTGCATCAAAGCACTGGAGATACGACTCCAAGCACTCCTTGGAGGCTGATGGGTTAAGTCTCAGAGCACGAAGCAAGAGATCATAGGCCAAGTCCCGCACAGCACTGCTATTATGGAAGATGAGATTCTTGATGGGATCAAGGAAGAGGAGTAAAACTTCTATCCGTCTGTTAGTTATACTTCCAATGTCTTGAAGGACACAAATGAGCTCCTCTGTACTTGCTGCCTTCCGCAACCGCAAGAGAAAGCCATCTGCCTGTCCAGAGTGCACCAGACCTGAAAAGGGGTTGTAGATTGGGGCTTTCTCCTCCACTGGAATGTTCATACCCTCTGACTTCTTTTCATGCTCACCCACTCTGGGTACTCGCAGGGCAGAGAGGACTGAAAATAAAGAACTCATGTCTGGGTACATACAGGTAAGATCACTGAGCACTGGAATGTACTCCTGCATAACTCCAATGGCTCGACTGGGATGACAGTTGATGTACCTCTGCACAAAAAGCATGAATCGATTCAATAGTCCTGCAACTTCTCCCTTTTGCCCATGTTTCCGCATAAGATCACCAAATACCTGCAATATATCTCTGACAGGCTCAGAATACTGTGGCAGAAACACATGAGGAATCAAGAGTTCAAGGAGCCCCAAGGTATGAGTGAAGAAGTTGAGGTGATTACGGCTTCGGAACATAGGGAATTCATAGTCTACACGGCCATGCAGGCTAGCAGCCAGCATGGGAAGTTGACGAAGAAACAAGTAGGGATGCTGAGAAGCCATCTTACGACAGGCAAGCTCGTAATCTCTCATCTTGCTTGCCCAGTCTTTTCCCTTCTGTGTAGCAGCCAATGAAGAAATGAGGACATGGGAAAGGACATCCAAAGGAGAGGAACCTTGATGTGGAACAGTCAGGAACTCCTTGGAAGAGGATGAGTTAAGAATAGGCACAATGGCCGAGGGATGGCTGAGGTACACCCATTCAAGAAGATCATTTGCAAGTGGATCATTCTGAGCTCGCTTAGAAAGGTGACATACAAGATTCTCCAAACGATTACTTTCCTCTCCACAGCATTTGATAAGCAGGGAAAGGCGCCTCTGTATGATTGGACAGCCATGTTGCAAGTCTTTAACTTCATACTTTTCCCTGGCCTCTTGCAAGATGTATTCACTCACTGTTTTCACTTGCTCAGTGTTGAGACACAGGACATCTTCTGGAGGCAGATGCTTTGGAATGTGTTTGTCTCGACCCTGCCACAGTTTTGGCATATGAATGCATGCCCAGAGAAAGTCCAACACTGACGTCGGATCAAATGAATCCTCTCTGGATAACATGGTATCAATACAGTCCCTCAGAGTCCTAATGGATCCCTCATGAGTCAACAGAGCCATCAGGTAGAGCTGTCTTCTGCTGTAGTCCTTGGTTGCTGGTGGGCGTTTCCCAAAGATCAATTCTTTCTACAATAACAGAATAACAGTTAAATGAATTAATGCATACAAATGGAAATCTATTTATGACATTGAAAATAAATTTGAATTCACCTGTTCATCAGGGCAGCTCCCTATCACTCGAGGTTCAAGAAGCCTGATCCAGTCAACCAAGAGACAAACCTAATTTCAAAAGAGAAAGGAATAACTCTAAATAAGAATTAACATTGATTGGAAATCTTTAAACCATATAGGTCACTACTCTCATCAAATGGGAAAATCAAATCAAGCAAATAAAACATTAAAAAAACCTATAATACTGAAAAACTAGATCACAAAGGCTTGTTTACCTGAGATATGTTGCATTGATCTGTCAACCTGTTCTCAGATAGGAGAATTTGAGACATGGCTTTGACAAGACTGTCTACATGATTATCCTTCAATGCTTCTTCAACTATGACATTCAGGAAGGATTCCAATTCATATCCAGTCTTGTCTTTGATGACCTGTAATATGTCCCTACTTGAGCGGATTGAGCACGACAATTTTGACACAGATAATGTGTGGGAACCATTAGCTTTCCTTGGTGACCCAGCCTGTTTGAGCACATGCACAAGTGGGGATGTTGAATCCAAACCAGTCAGTTGAGGCATAGTCATGACATGAAGGTATTGTTCTTCCATGATGAATGGAAGCTTATCCCTCAATGCATTGATACTTTGAAATAATGGACATGAAATGATGGAATTGCGATGAAGAGCCTTAAAAAAAAATTCCATTTGTGGACTTTGAACAACTCCTGTAATGGTGCACAGGAGATTTCTTGCAATCTTGCAGTCAATTCCAGGATGTGTAAGTTCATGCACTAGCATCCTCTGCAAAACCTGAGCCTGATGTTGCTTTTCAGCATTGGTCAAACTGGCAGCTTGGTCTATGTCGAACAAAGAATGGAAAACCTTCTCTATATCCTCAATCAACTCCTCCTTTGTATCCCTTACATGTCGTGGCAGTTCTTTCATTTCAACATCATGGGAAGATGGCTCGTGTCCTTGACTTGCATTTATTGTATTTATCCCTAACAGTTCTTCAAATTTGTAACCTCCAGTAGCTCCTCTCTGTCTTTGAACTTCAATCAGCTGGGTCATGTATTGATGATCCACAATGGCTGCAGACACTGAATCCCTATCATATTCAACAGCTCGATCCAATGCCCAAAGTAGCTTGCTCATGTTATGAACTGGGATTCCAAAGGATTGCATAAAAAGAAGGAGTTGACATGGTTCAAGATCCCTCAAAGCTGCATCAACAAGCTCAGGAACTGAAGAGCGTATCATACGGAGCTTGAGCCAATCTGGATGAAGGAGTGCAACTTCTGAGGTGTCAACCAAGAATGCCTCAGGCAATTCTAAGTTTGCAGGAAACCAGACATTACAGAGTTGTGTGAATAGGCTTGAATCAAACTCTGCAGGAGGGCCATAGGATAGAAGAATCACAATCGCATGAACCACTAGTATGTGCATCGTTGCTGCATTTCCATTTGACCATTGAATGAGGATCTGATCTTGACTATCAGACCATGGATAAGTTTCCTTCAAGGGTCCTCTTGCTTTGATTGTATATTGGTTGAATATCATCAGCAGAGAATGAAGAGTTGACTGGCTTTCTGCATCAGATCTTCCCCCATCTTCAAGAGGCAGTAAGGCACCTATGATAGTGCTTCGCTCAACTATAAGCTGGGACAGATCAAGAACCAAGTCATTGAGATCCCCAAGAGAATCTCCCAACCCATATCTTGCCAAAAAAGTGACATAGTTTCTCACAATTTGTATTTCATTCTCAATTTGGCAGGCTTGCCTAAGAGCCTTCACTATGCAATGTCTCATGAGTGAGAAATTTGGGAGCAATGGGAGGAGGTCCAGCATATGAGCTCCTGGACTAGCATCCAGTTGGACTTCCATCATTTCATCTGGTTTCCTGTTCTCTACAAGGAGTTCAAGCCCACTGATGGCCTGTCTTCGCATGTCTGGATTCTGAGAACTGATTCTCTGAAAGAAATACTCTAATATCTCAAGGCTGGACTGGAGGTCAGCTGATTGTTTGTGTATGATAGCTTTCAAGTGTTGTAATAACTGATCCCTCTTTTGCAGATTCTTTCGACTTCCATCTTCCTGAGACTCATACATGAGGAACTCACACAAGCACTGGACAGGCAAAATATCAAATGCTCCAGCACTAGATTCTACAAGTTCAACCAGCCAGGGCATGGCCTGAGCTGGACCTTGACACTGGAGTATGCCAAGAAGAAAATCTGGATCACGACTTCTACAAAGGAGATGACCCAAGTGAAGTTTCTTATTCAAGGTCTTAAGAGTTTCCAAGATAGCTGGGGGAGGCCTCCGAGGAGGACCAGTTGGATTCAAAGATGTCAACTGTGGCAGGAGCAAAGAGTTGGCTTCTGTGATGACAGCCCCAGCTAAATGAGTTTCAAATTCCACAATAGCTGCACTCTCTAGAGAGGAAAGCTGCCGTTCTTTCCCCATTATTTCCTCATATGTTTCCCCAGATCTAAGAGTGATGGGAGGGAATGTGAACTGATTTGTTATACACATTTCCAATAGGGTTGATAACATGGGGTAGCTCTCCTTGGCAAGAGGCCCAAACACAGATGGATTATGAGCTGTGACAATAAGGAGAACAGTCCAAGCCTTCCAGTAGAGGTTAGTGATGGCTAAATCTGGGGGTGTATACCCTGAAGGGAGTGCAATGCTGTCAGGATGATGATATACAGATAAGTTGAAGAGAAGATCAACAAGTTGAACTCTGTCCACTCGGAGGACTTCAAATCCTTCAGTATATAATAGGCCAGCTCGCTGTACTAACTGATCTGCAAGCTCAAGAGCATCAGGAGCCTTTACTGGATGATCTTTGGATAGGCCAATGATGAGGATCTGCATGAGTGTATCCTGTAGAAGAGGCACATCAGCTGCAATCCTCAGAATGAAGTTTCTCTCACCCTCAGGAGGCCAGTTATCCAGAGAATAATATTGTTCTCCTTTCTCCATGAGAAGAACTTTGTACATGGAATGAACATAGTCATCTGGAGGAGGTCTATACATAGGCATCACAATAGAGTGAAGCCACAGTACAGCATCTTTTTGGATATTGGATATATCTCGCTGGTATGTGCGTAATGCAGTAACATCTCTTCTCTCTCCTCTGGACAGGGCTTGGTATGCTTCACGAACAGGTGGAGAGATTGCTGAGAAGATACAGAGTGTTATGAGGTCAACAACTGAAGTGAACATACGTCTCTTAATGTCCACAGCAAGGTCTCTGAAACTTGCTCCCTTTCTTTCTTGCATCAGTTGGTGTGAGAACACATGAAATGGGAGCTCATGCCTCAACACTCTCACAATTTCCCGAAACACACCCCTTATAGCTCGCAGGAAGTCCTCTTGCTGTCCTAACAATTCAATAAAAACCTCAGCAAGTATGGTGGCTGATGCCTCACCTGCTACCTGAAACATGACAGCAATCATCTGCATGTTGCATGGATTCCTTGATGATGACAATTCATTGTAAATGGTATGCTTCATTACAGTAGACAAGTTTTCTGGATGAGCCATCACCAACTCTTTTAGGCAGTTCATGTAGTGATTTATATGGGGTTTGGCTTTCAAACGGATCTTGATAAAGTGGCTTATCACCTCCACATCAATTTGTGCATTAGTGGAACAATTGATGGCCACAGCCATCAAAAGTTCATTGGCAACACGACCCAACTTTGGATTCTGAAGCCACATTTCCAACCTCTGAATCACAAGATGCCGCACCTCTGGAAGTCCACAGGTGGCTGTCAGAAGACGCAAGAAATTCCTTGTGATTGTATCCACAGGCTGCCGTCGGGTCAACTGATCTCTTATGAGGTCGACTACCATTTGTTCTACAGCATCATTAGAAGCAATATACCTGGGGAGAATCAGTATATTTTGCTTCTCTTTTCCATTACTTAGATCCCCACCATTTATATCAGTTTCATCCAATTCTATTGCTACATTGTTGGGAGAAGGGCAATCACTCCTACCCAGGCCAAGGTCTGTCAATAAGACACTGGGAGGCATTTTTGTTTTGAAGGCCGTCATGATATTGGAAACAAAGCCTTTGCATTGCTCATGATCTACCCACAGGCGCTCTCCAAGGGAGTCATCAATGAATGCTCTAATGAAAACTTCTGGCCAAATATTCTCATCCTGGAAAGCTGCCATAAGGACATTGGCAGCTAGGATAGAGACTTGTGGGTTCCCTTTAGTCTTGAAGCCAAGGGCTTGTTCACGTCGAAGCAGGCTACAAAATGCATTGATGATATCATTAGAGGAAAAGGCACTGGGATAAGTCTTTGCTAGGTATAACAAAGCAAGAGAAACAATTTGATCTGGTCTGGATCTTTGGCCTTTCAACAACTTAGCTGCTCCACAAAGCAAGGCTTCAACTTTGTCTTCTTCACCAATCTCATATGCTTCCTCAACTTCATTTAAAAAGCTGGATGCATCAATCTCAATAGCAAGAGATTCCCAGGCTTCTCCCCTATCAACCTTAGGCCGGCTGACACCTAATGCAGTCAGGGATGGTGTTCCTGATGCTTTCCCTTTCTTGAGAATGGCAGATGCTCCATGTGTTCCTGTTGTTTCTCTCTTCCGCTCACCTGATGTGCCTGGAACTGCTCCTGAAAGGCTTGGCTTGATGCTGCTAAATTTATCAATTGGTGGCAAATCTTGCTTTCCACTTGCTTTCAAGCCAAGAGCAATAAATTCACCACTTGTGGGAAGAGGACCCCTTGGGGCTTTTGATCCCCTTTTGTTGAATGCACTCATCGCCTGAGACTTACAAGACCTCAAAATGAAGGACCCTTTGGAGGTGCATTCCAAAGCCTTTTTCCAATCAAGTTTCCAATAGTATCATCTCCCAACAGGAAGATGTGAACCTACAAATAATGCATGGAGGAGTTTGAAATGGGCAGTTCATATTTTAGGCCTATGACTAATCTTGGCTTAGGATCACCTGTACATTTGCTTTATTATAAATTACCAAAAGTTTTTCTTGTTCATAAAAGTCAATCTTGAAAACAAGTCTATGATTTGTCTATGATGTAAGGGATGTAGGCTACACAATAACTCTAGATATGTATCAATTATCAATCTTTCATTGGTTATTTGTAAAAAAAAAAAAAAAAAAAATTTGCTACTATCTGCCACTGCCTCACCTAGAACTTGTGCAAAATGTATGTAAAATGAAAAAAATCTCCAACTCTGGAATTTACAAGGGGAAAATCCCCCCCTTTCTACAGTGAGATAGAGTCCTTGAAATAGCTTAAGTTGGCTTTCGACCATAGAATTCAAGTGATACTCTCTTAGAGCCATGCTTCCTGGTGAGAATTTGCAAAAAGTTCCATGCATATTTATGTAGAGGGTTACCACACTCTAGTGGAATGCCCAACCCAGCCCTGGAAGGAACCAGCAACAAGGAAATTTTGGAGCCATAATTTTGGCTCATGGCAATTTTCACTCAAACAGAGCTGGGGCTGAAATATTGGCCCATAGCACCAAGGAGGGTTAAACCAATTGCAAACAAGAAGAGAAGCCAAATTTTTCACTGTTTAATGTAACCCTGACAAACTATGGCAAGGGATAATTCAAATTGAAGGGTTCACTGGATGCTCTTAAGCTAACACTCTAAAGAAGTGCTTAAATAGACCCAAAGAGGGTTGCAAAAAAAAACCCAGTGAGTAATCATGACATACCAGCTTTCTGAGTAATTTAAAAAGTAAACTGAAGCAGTCATTTTGGTTAACAGGAACCAACTCAAGATTGAAAAACTGAAACTGAACTCAATTTCTTGTAAATTTTGAAATCCAAACTGACTCCAAGCCAGTGTACTATTTTGTAGCACATAGGACCATGGCACAGGTCTAGGTCTGGTTCAACCCTTTCAGTCCAGGCAGGACTCAGGAGTCTTTCTTTCTTCACATATTACAGGGTTACACAGGAATTCACAACCATGGCCATGGCAGGATTCTGAGTCCCAGTTTATAGTAGTTCACCCCATGTTGTCAAGTTGACAGCAGTCCACAGAAATATGAAACTGCTGCATTTCCTCTGGCACATAAAATGCAAATTGCATCATTCATCAATTGACAAATCCCAGCCAATTTCTTCTATGTTTTTGCAAGCTAGATAATGGAAAGTAGTACAGGAATGCTGGGAAACATACAACATAAACTAGGGATATAGTGCTAGCTGAACTAATTAAATATCATAATATTAATTAAATCTTTTTGAAATAATTGAATATATATTTATTTTACTTAAGGAAACCATTATAAAATCACTTTTATTATATATGAGCCTTGTTGAAGCCCTAAAAGTATATTACTTATTTTTTCAATGCCAAGAACATAATTCAGGACTGAAAGGGTTAAACAACCAAACATAACTAATTTTTCAACAGGAACAAAGAGCAGCCATTAAATTTTTTTTTACCGATAATGGACAATCCCTCCAGACTCCTTTCAACTACTTAAGAATGATGACAGCATTATTACCTGCAGGCTAAACAAATTAAATAATTGCTCTTTGTTCCTCTTCAAAAACTAGTCAGATTTTAATCAGTTGTTTCAATCAACTAAACTTTGAGGTCTGGAAAAAATCAACATATGATAAGGCTAAACTTTAGAAAGATGCAGAAAGAACATAGATATTAACTCCTCGAGGACATTGGGCATAGTAGCTGCATCCATTCCTTTCTGTCCCCATCATCCTTTGGGCATAGTACTTACACCTGAAGGGATTTTTGGTGGATCAGAGTGGATGGAGGGAGAAGTTTTGTCTGGCACTCAAGGGGTTTAAGCACCCAGCATTACATTGTTGCTGCCTCCACAACATAATCCTGCATTGACCTACTTGTTTCAGCTGTTCAGTCATTCAATTGTGAGGAAGTGCCCAATTATACACAATAAGAATGTATCAGAGTCACAGAATTGTTGCCAAAACTATCAAGTATGGAATATAAAATGATCCTGACTTCCAACTTATATGTGATTGCTTTTGCTGGAAATATTTTCACAAAACCTGCACCATGCAAAGAGGGATATGTTCCTGACAGACCTTTGAAATTATCAAGGCTGCAAGCAATTATTAGCACAGTCTCTGACTAACAGGTTGTTGGTAGGTCACCTGTGAGAGGTCAGATCCAGAATTTTCTTAATGTTCATGAAGTTAGGACTGAATATGTAGTGTTTCATCAGGAACATATTGGTGCATTCCAAATTGACATCAGAGAAGAACTGGGCAAGATAAAAGGATTACAGGGAGGTGGTGTGAAGTAGCGCTTTTTCAAATAATACTAAAGCCTAGCCTGAGAACAGCAATGATCTACAGAATAATGATACAATATTTGACAACAATGACTTCTATAAATGAACAAGAGGAGGACTGAGGAAAATACAGGGTTGTGGCCAAGATTTTTCAACATCAACAATAACAAAACACACTGAAATGCTCCCTAGATTAATCCCTACACATCTATGTGTCTCAGTCCAACCCTTCCAGAATTCTGAATCAGGTCATTACCCCAATCATCCACCGAAACAATGCAATTTCCTCTGGCTGAGTCAGAGATCCTATGTTTAAAAAAAATTTGAATGACTCAATATCCTTTTTCATTACCAATGTAGCATGTACAACATTCCAATATACACTGCTCAAAACAATTAGGGGATATTTTAGTTTCTGTCGGATAATTATAAATTTCTGCAAACTATTGGGTACTTTATACATGAATAAATATTTCTTACTTAGGGATAGGGTGTAATTGATGAGATATTGTTTAAATAATCGATATTTATTACAAATTTAACAAATTATACATTTTAGCATAAATAATTTTAACAAGAATAACAACAAGAATAGCCAAAAACGCTTTTGTTAATTTTTAATAGGGCGTATGGTCTCCATTAACAGCCAAAACAGTGGTACATCTTGGCTGCATGGACCAGATAAGATGATCAAACAGTTCTTGTGGGATATTTCCCCACTCTTCTGTGAGAGCAATTTCGAGCTCTTGAAGCGATCATGGTGGCACCAGTCGAGCAGAAACGTGCTTACCTAAAGCATCCCAGGCATGTTCGATTGGATTACGATCCGGTGAACAGGCAGGCCAGTCCATTCGTTCAATACCTTCTTCCTCAAACCACTCTTGTACCAAATTTACACGATGTGGACAAGCATTGTCATCCATAAAAATGAATTCTTGGCCAATTGCAGCAGCATATGGACGAACTATAGGTTCCAAAATCTCATCGCGATACCTTTGGGCTGTTAAGGAACCGTTTCTGATAAAATAGAGATCAGTATGGCCACCTATACTTATTCCAGCCCATACCATCAAACTCCCACCTTGATGTTGGGGTCTTTCATGAACAAACTGTGGATTATTTCTTGTTCCACTTTCACGCCATATCAAGATACGTTGGTTATCTAGTTGCAGACTGAATCTGGACTCATCACTAAAAAGTACACGAGCCCAATCCTCATTTGTCCAATTGTGGTGTTCCTGTGCCCAAATTCTTCGGGCTCTTTTGTGATTTGCAGTAAGTGGAATGCAAACCATTGGTCTTCGAGCATATAAACCTATGGCATGAAGACGATTTCATACTGTCTGTGTCGATACCAGCCTCCCTGTTGCTGCGACAAGTTTGCTTCAAAGTTATGTTGCGTTAAATGTTCAATTTCTTCTGGCAAGTAATGAAAAATACTGATCGTCTCTTGGAGTTGTTGATGATGGGCGACCTTGACCTTGTCTTCGGCAAACATTTCCTGTCTCCAGAAAGCTATTCTAATGTCGTGAAATTATGCTTTGAGATACACAACATGCTTGAGCGACAACTTGCTGCGTTTGTCCAGCTTCTAATCTCTCTTCTCTCCAAGTCATGGATTCCAGGATATCATGTTGCTCTGCCATTTTTAACAAAATAATGGGTGGTAGGTGACACAAGTTTACAATTGAAGTGATAATTATGCACTGTGGAAGTGAGTGCAACAAGCCATGCTTTTATACCCCCCACATGCTAATACAGCTAAGACATGTTTCGACAAGTCTTAACACGATTTTGTATGCAGTTGCGTGTTCTACACTGTTGTATATTAAGAATATTTTTAAATAAATGTGTTACATTTGTAAATTATTTTTATAACTTTATAATTTACAAGAAAACCAAAATATCCCCTAATTGTTTTGAGCAGTGTATATGAAGTGCTCAATTGCAGCTGTATAATAGGTCTAGAGCATCGTGAAAGATAGGGAATGGGGTAAAATTTGATAACCCAATTTGGTATAAATTTTGGAGGAAAGTTCATAAGAGCAACAAAACTCCTCTTAGATTGAGAAAACTTCCTGTTAAATTATAAATTGGAGACAAAAAATGGACATGGGATTCCAGTCCCTTTGGAGTGCCTATACTTCAACCGCATTGTTACCAAATGTAAACCAAGGAAAAATCTGACGGAGTTAAGGAAGATGAGCCCCCATGATGGGGCTCATCAGCATGGAATAGGCTGCTGTTGTAATAGGCCTTAAAAAAGAGCTGGATACCAATTTCCAGTTACTTTTCTTCTGCTATCGTCTATACAACGAAAAGTAACGTAAAATCATAAATTAGAACGATAACTTTGACTCCAAAACCCATTTTCTACCTCACTGCAAGGGCCTCCGTACCGATGACAAGAGAGTCGCCATCTTAATTTCAGCGGACAGCCTGTAGGCCGGCCGACTGGTCCAACCCGATTCCGCGAAACGCTCCAGCGTTCGAGTTCAAGGGTAAATAAGTGGGGCCCAGCTTAAAATCCCGGCTGGAAACATAATATCCAGCTGTAAATTCAGACCCAAACCAACTGGGTAAACTGGGTAGCAGCTGGAAAGTAGTCAGATTCAGATTGGTTCCTAGTTGCAATATCACTAGCTGAATGAGAATCTTTTTGTTGAATGTTTTTGTCGGAAGTTCAGACAAAGAAACAACTGAATTTCAGTTGTAAATTCAGCTGTATTCCAGCTGTCGGGTACTCTGTATGAAATTCTAACTGGAAATTTCCAGCTGGAAACAGCTATTAAAACCAGCTGCATTCCAGTTGGAAAATTCCAGCTATAAACCAACCGGGATCTACTATTTTCCAGCTCTTTGCCAGTTGGAAATGGTCCGAATTTACAGATTTAGTCCAGCTGGAATATTCCAGTTGGGATTTTAAACTGGGGGGACAGAGAAGAATGAAAAGAAAAAAATGCATAGGACTGAAAGGGTAGTGAAAGATGGAATGGAGAAATTTCGACATTATATACGCAAAAAGTTCTCAATGTGTATCCCAACTTGGAGATAGCTCTCAGGATTTTTTTTACCCTTCTCTCATCAATTGCTTCATGTGAGAGAAGAGAGAGCAGTCATCACACAAATGAGTCTTCCCACTCTCAGGAGGAGAAGTTCTTGGATACTGATACACTTCACCAGTTATCTGGAAAAGTATAAACCTTTAATCGGAAAATAGCCTACGATTCGTTTCACGTCTAGGAATATCACATCTGTTGGTGTTGAACCCTTCAGAGTCTTGCGCTTGTAATTGCGCATTATCAAGTCGGGAAAAGACTACAGAGGAAATCATGAACTGCATTGACCCAATCCCAGCAAGAATCAAGACTTTTCATTAAAAAAGCAAACAGCAAAAATAAACTGTCACTGTGAACAAAAACGAAAAAAAAAAAGATTCTTATACATAAATAAAACGTCCGCACAATCTGTACTTTGGGTGGGGACGACTCTGTTTTCAACTACACATTCCTGACACCTTAGCTGGAAGATATACACTAAGTTCTTGCAAAAGTTCTTGCCCCTCGCACAAGCCAACTTTCTGGAAGCATATCTCGGGAACTTTCTAGAAGGTGAGGAAAGGTCTATATATAGCTGTGAAAACCGCAATTCGTCGTAAACGTTCTTGAGTTGGGAGAAAATGCCTCGACAGCACAATTCTACTTCACTGAAAACGAAGCGATCAACTATTTTACACTTCTGGAACAACGGCCATCGGTCACCCACATTGCTCGTCTGGCGAAGATCCCCGTTCTGACTGTCGAGTACAATATTGCCAGAATCAAAGAACAAGGCACGGTAAGGAACAGATGCCGTAATGGCCGACCCCGCAAGATCACCGCCGTCGACGACGAGGCACTCGGTCAGTGGATTCCATGTAACCGTGAGACAACGGCGAAAGAACTGGCACAAAAGTTGCTTCAGGACCGAGGTCGGCTCGTGTCCCTATGCACGGTACGACGCCAGCTCAAACGGATGGACTAAAAGAGTACTTTGCCCCATGCGACGACCATGTTGACACAGTAGCACTAAGATGCGTGCGTCCAGTGGGCAACTCAACACAAGAACGACGATTGGAGCCGAACGGTATTCACCGACGAGACCTCCTACCAATTATTCAGAAACACGATTTGTCGAAGGTCAAAGAATCCAAGAGGCGAAGTCGAGCGAATCTCGAAGAACAGACAGGAGATTATGGTGTGCTTCAGTGTTATGGACCTGGTCGGCTGTCATTCGTTCGAGAGAATTATGGATGGCCCTTACTACGTTCAATTCCTTCAAGATCACCTCCTCCGTAGCGCCAGAAGGCAGTTCGGTCGACGCTGGCGATTGCATCAAGACAACGATCCCAAAGAGAAGTTGAGTGACGAAGTAGTTCCTACTCGAGGAAGTACCCGAAACAATCGACTGGCCGTCTAACAGTCCCGACGTCGATCCGATCGAGAACCTCTGGTCGATCCTCAGACAGCGTGTCGAGAAGCGGAAACCATCAAATCTCGACGAACCGACAGATTTCTGCACGAAGAATGGGACTGAGTCGACTTGGCCACTCTAAATCATTTGGTCAAGTCGATGAAAGCGCGATGTTTGGCTTTGAGTGACTCGAAGGGAGAGAGGATCAATTATTAATTGTGATACTTTGTCCCAAATATCTGTGAATAAAATTGGTTTTTTATACTCATCCCATCCACCCTGAGAAATACTTGACATACTGGGGGCAAAGACTTTTCACCTTAGTGTATATACATGTCTGCACATGTATATACATGTATATACATGTCTGCTACATATACGTGTAGCAGACGACATGAAGAGAAACAGAGTTGGGAGAGCTATAAACAACCTGACCCATAGTACCCCGTGACCCATGGTGCCCCTCACCCTCCCCTACTCCTGGAGAATGGCCAGAAAGGTCTTGGTCTTTTATTTCAGGGAAAAAGGGCTGATTTGCGTCCCGCTACTCTATTTAAATCTGCTGTCCTTAAACGACTTCCCTGGAGGAGTAACGTGAACATTTTTCAGTATAAAAATTTTCAGTATAAGATATAGCTATTGAAATAGCACATTGTAATAAATAAATCAACTGAAACCCCCATGACCTATCGCGCACCAAATCGCGTCCCCTAGCTTGAGGACTGCTGCTCTATTGCATGAATTCTGAAAATGTGGGGATTTTTTGAGGGGGGGGGGGGGGAAGCAATGGTTCGTGAGATACAGCTTTGATGCCATTTGGCATTGTAGGGCAAAATACTAACTCAAATAATTGTTCTCTGTTCGTGTTGTCAAATTTTGTTTTGCAAAAGAGGGTTAATTTAAGGCTTACACACATGACCATTTGTATGACTTGAATGCATTTGTGTGATTTGTGTAGAAGTTTTCGTGTGCGTTATTTTTATGCATTTGTATAAATAGACTTGTTTACATTTAATTTTGATTTTAGCCTTTCTTTCGTCAATCACATTTATCCCCACTTTCGTATAGTCGACGGGGCATATTATAACTTATAGGAATTAGGAACAATTTGCAGCTTGTAATGACTGGAATAGGCATTACCTTGCTATTGAACGGGCTCTTGTCACCAGCATTACTATTTCCCCCCCCCCCCCCCTTTTTTTTTATAAACCAACTTCCTGGCAAATGAAAAAGGACGAAATCATATTGATGGAAGTGTTGCATGTGCCAAGGCCATTCACTCCCCTACACTTCATGCACAGAGTCCTGGCAATTCAGAGCTAATCTAATTCCAATGTACAGTGAAGATAAGTCTAATACCATTGTACGCGTATCAATTTAGAAGAGGTTGATAGACAACGTGTCGATCTCAGTCGTGTTCTACCATGGGAAAATCGTCAGAGTTGCTACACGGGATCGCAAGATGTGAAGAACCAGATGAAGCGACGCGCAACTTTGGAAAATGAAAAATAAATGATTTTTTCCGAATTTGGAAGCAATTAATTTCTTCCGTGTTCGCTTTTCTGGTCATGTGGCGAGAGAGGACACAAGTCCTTATCGCTGAAGAAAATCTCCCAAGGGAGAGGTCCAGACTCCTTGTTGGATGACGATAAATTTTTACATGCTTCAATGAAGGACTACATTTTATCTTACATTGAATTTTCAGTAGAGTCTTGAGGTAATTTCCCAGCACTTCGAATGCTGGGGGGGGGGGGGGGAATGGGCGGCGAAGCTTGATTTGTAACTACCGTTTTGGGTTCCATGGACCCTGATATAAAAATTCAGTCATTTACGTAGGCTGTGCCATGAACTTGGAAAGTCCGATACTCGGTGTATTTCCATGAAGACATGGAATAGTGATTAGGCAAAGTATTTTCAAGAGATTCTTCGGGAATGAAGAGATGAAACAGAGTTAAACATATGACCATCTGGGTTCAGGTAGTTACAGGGTTAATCTCGTCTTTCGCTTCACCCTTTGCCATCGCCAAGTGTCACATGAAGGATATAAATACTTGGGAAACTTATTGCTTGAGTTCTACAGTGGCTGAATTTACCATCCAATTCGCGGCTCCTGGACACTGATTCCAAAGGTCTGATCGTCTCACGTTGCACCAACTCAGACTTTCCCTTCCACTTCAACTATTTCTTAAACGGCTCGTGTCTCCAGTTGCCCTGCCCCATGTACTCGTAAATCCTCCAGCTTCCGTCATCCCTGTCGTAGCAGCGCCTGCCTCCGGCAAGTACAAGTAGGCACGTGGTCGTGACTCTACGCCCTAGGGAGCGTCAGAAAATGGACACCGAAGTTCACAATAGTAAGTCCAGTCGATATTGCAGCACTTTCTGCATGCATCTGCTTACTTGAACCACGGACTTCCTGTCTCGTGAGACTCCGCACCCAGCACAGGCCTTGCTAACGATAGGCTGATGTGCAAAATCGGTACAATGGTAAAGAAGGCAGTCCCCTTTTCCCCAGAAATTCAAAGAATTGAGAAATTGACACAAAAACCTCGGGCGCATTAGACAATTGTCTTCAAGATCTTTCAAATTAGATATATCAAAGAATACGTGTTGATGGACCCTTCATCTTGCTAATCATGGGTGAGATTCCAAGAATATTTGCACCTTTTTCCCCTTTTTTCAGAAATTTCAAGAAAATCAATGAGTTGCAATCTCACTTTGAGGGGATTCTTCCATTGTGAGTGGTTCCAATGGAAGCGCTAAGAAATCAGTTTGAATTCTGGCGAAAGAATGACATCAGAGTGAACTATTCTGAAGGTATTAAATGCCTACAGCAATCTGTAGGTTCTGTTTTGCAGATAAAACTTGGAAAAAGATTCATATTTCGAATTACTTATGCATTTATACGCGAGCAAGCAAGATCAGATTGCCCACGGCGCTTTGCATGAGTTCCCTGGAGATCTGGCAAACCGTATCTAAGTCAGCAGATAACCTCTGGTACCTAGAGTGTTTTATCAACGCGCTCTTCAACTGCTCTTGCAATTCAAGCCCTGAATGCCCAGCGTTCTGGTCTCAGGGGGAATATATTTCGTAAATTTCACGGCAGTGATACCTAGGATCACTGCCGCTGCCTGTTATTTGAACTTGTACTGCAATTATACCCTCCAATTTGTTTAACTTACAGCTGTCGCTTACTCAGAAGAAAGATCACTCTTGAGAAATTAGGAAAGCGCAGAAAAATATACGGGAGGCACTAAAATGGGGCCAAAATTACGCGATAACAAGTCAGAAGTTGAAATGCGTAAAATACCAATTTTTCACATGTTTGACAAAGTCCTGAGGAGGCGAGCGCAGTCATTCAACATATGCTTTGCACAGACGCATGTGAGAAATCAATGGCGCGTTATACATAGAGTTGGACAAAACGTTGCTAATTTCAGATTATTTTTTTCCTATGGAGGGCGAAATTTATCTGTTGACTTCTTGTTCTGACCTATCACCACAGAATAAACGAGTGACTGACATGACGGATTGTTAATAATGGCAACGTGAGGACGTATGTCATTGCCACACTCTGGCGACTTAAGGAACGAATGTTTTTGCAGGCTAACGACTGTGCATTAAGTGACGGAATAAGAATGTTTTCTTTTCGGTGAGGCAGTCTCTGGATGTCCTCCCGGGCCTCTTTTTCTCATCTCAATCTCACATTTGTCCGGGAAGTCAGTGTGGGAGAAAACTATCAACACCGACTTTCTCTGGCATATATGCTGTTTCATCTTCCTTCCTCAAGTGAAAAGCGAAGGATTTAGAGGATTTCCTCCCCGATAATGTCATGCGTTGACATGTGGTAACTTAATGCCTATACTGTATTAATACAAGAACAGTATAATTCAAAGGACATTGCATTTTCATTCCTTTTTCATAAATGGAAATAAAAAAATGAGTGACCACCCAGTCTTGCTGCATGACTTCGTGAGGTTGCATAAACTAAAAAAAAGCGGCAAAAAAAACAGCTAATCTGAATGTGGTTATCAAGTTTTCTTAACCGTAGTTACTTCGGCTATCAGATTGGGAGAAAAAAAAATGTTAGAAGCACTTCTGTCTTCTGTAATTGTTAAAACGGATCGATTCCTCTAAGACAGTCCGAAACCGTGACACCTTGGACTATAACAGAGAATTAAGTGTAAGACATCACGCACGAAGCTAAATTGAACCCTGCAATAAATTAAACTGACACGGGATCAATGGAGTTACATCTACTTCATGCGTAATCCGGTAAATCAGTCTGCTACAAACGGCATGGGATACGCCAGGAGTATGAAGTCCGTAACACTATCGACCTCTACGAGATGGAAAGAGAAGCTTGCGATCGTGCTCAAAGAACCTTTCCGTATTCCACTTCAATGTTGTCAACAGAAATTGCTTCAGATCCTCATTTCTCGCCATTTCAATCTACACCAAATTCAGCGGTGTGGTCAACTGGTATGTCCTTTATCCAACAACCACATAAACTTCAGATTGAGGGTTCATTTTTATTTTTGGGTTAAAATTTTAGTCACCCAAATGGCCGACTATTTATCTTAGGATTGGATTATGACTGAAATTACATGTATAATAATCTTAATCTGCATGAAAATTAGCATTGCCTAAATAGCAGTCTGATTTTTTTTTTTTTTTTGGGGGGGGGGGGGGAAGGGGGTCGGGTAATAAAAAACTTTGTTCCCGGGGGGGGGGGCCCAGTTTATGCTTCCTTTCAGGGTAACAGTGAAGGAAGCTCACTTATTATGGTGGGCTTGGGATCAGGTCACAGATCTGAGCTCTGGAATAATTTATTGAGATTAGGTTTCAGTTTTGGTTGGGAATGTCGTGAAATCGGATTTTTTATGGCAGAATAATCGCCCTCTGGTTATGCTCCTCACCGTGACTTTGTTTTTTTTTTTTTTTTGGGGGGGGGGGGGTAAGTGGCTCGGTTAATAACAAGCTTGGTTCCCGTGGCAGGGGACCCTGGTTTGAAACCTACAATCAAGGGCTAATTTCTGAGTCCAAGTATTTCTGAGCACGTACACTCCCTTATCAAATTCGTGAGGCTTTTGGCCCAGTCGTTAAATCACCTCATTAAACAAAATGTCCGATTAATTCCTTGACAGTCAGTTCCCTCTTGTCAAACCAACGACAGTCAATATCCCAAAGAGCAACTTTCTAAATTGTGGTTCAACGGTTCAGTTCAATTTGATAGAAGATTATGGATGATAGTTTTTATGTACTGGCTTTCCCCCATCTGTTTCCCATCTAGAAAATTATACAAAATGGAACATCACCGCCAATACATTGCCAGGCACTGCTGTAATATTCTCACAGACGAGGAAGGAAATAGATTCAGTCGCAGGGTAATTCTCCCATCCATCAGAGATAAGGTAGTCAATATGTCTTATCAAGACGTAAAATGGGAGCAGATTTGAAACAGTCACGTGGTTTAAAAAACAGGTCATTACAAGGTGAGGGTGGATTTTTGAACAGAGCATTATCCGATAATGCAGCTTTATTTCAGAGAAAATGCGTGATAAATCCAGTAAATAAAGCTGCATTATCGGATAGTGCTCTGTTCAAAAATCCACCCTGAGTCTTTGAAAAAATCAGGAGTTTCTGAAGTGCCAAAAGGAAATGGATCTCATTCTGGAGGGCAATGTCGTCATGAAGAACAAAATGAACTAAGGCGGCACGAAGAAGGTTCTGGGAGTGTCTCCAATAAATAAAAAAACCAAAGGAAACTGTGACTACAGATTTGAAAATGAAATCGTATCACCGTTGACATGAGTGTTGTAGACCTAATATCAGTTTTCATGGGAGATAAACCCTCACCTCCGAGCATGCACCATAGAAATAACAATTATGTAAAAGATGGCATGAATTCATTTGCAAATCACTATACCTCGCGACAACAAGGCATGTCGTAAGCAGGCGAGGTAAACACTATCAAGCCCGAAAACTGGGGGAAAATTACAAGCTCGGAAGGTGGTTGCGAACATTATTAATGATGCCACGGCTACGCAAAAGAAGACAAGTTAGTGTAGTAGCAGTTTAGCTAAAAACTACCTTATTTCTGATCCCATCCTTGACACTCCCATTTCTTCTTTTTTTTTTACTTACTGCCACGGTATCGGCTTTGGAGCCTCATCCATTCCAAGATGAGTTTACCTGAACAAAAATGAAAGGATTCGTTCTTTCGTTTTTAGGTGTCACTACGCAATATCTCATTATTATTGAATGAAATTTTTGTTCGTGCCAAACAAAAAGATAAGACAGCCAGGTTTCTTTCTCACGGGAGGGGCATTGATAAGGAATCAATTTTCACAACAGCTCCGCATGCATTTCCAAGTTTAAACGCTTGCAATTTTGAAATAAAATATGGAAATTATGCTCTCTCAAAATCCGTATATTTCAAGCTATGAGATTTCCCGCAAGGGCAAGGCAAGAAGAGCAAAATTTATTTCTGAACAGGTTACAACAGTTGGGAATTTGTACCATCGGGGAACTAGCGATTCGAGGTAATGACTATCGGAAATTCGACAGCGGGGAAATGACCAGGAGCTGAGCAGAAGACAAATACATTCTGCGCCTTCATCTCAAAAATTAATTACTCAATCTTTTTTTGAGAACATAAATCCAAAACAAACTTGAGAGAGGTGGCGTTGGGTCGTGCATATTCTGTGAAGAAAAGTGGGGGAAGCAGGGTGGAAAATAGTGTAGGGACAGGAGGAGGGCAGTAGAGCACCACCAAGGGAGGCTGAAGCTCTCCCGCCCCCTCCGGCCGAGAAGTTACGGAAATTCTAGCCCTCCCACTTTGCCAAAACCCTGGCTACGCCACTGAGTACGGAGTCAAGCAGATGATGATGCAAGACCACAAGAGGAAACCAGTGAAAGAAGGCGGGCGGAGGGCAGTGCAGGGGCACGGGAGGGGGCAGGAGACGGAGCGCAGAACAGAGGAAGTATTAATAGATTATGGGTTGGTGGAAACGGAAGTTGTCACCGGAGGTAGAGGGAGATGGTTGTACAAGATATTCAACCGAACATCCGTTTCCCTCAGTCTAACTCTATTTGTCGAAAAGTATGCGTACATTTGAAACTTCACATTATAATCTGGTTTTGGCCTGCAAATTAACAGTAAATTATGCCACCCTTTTACTCCGAGAGCAAATTTTCAGTGATCAAAGCAATATTTCGTAGCCGTAGGAAACTCAAAAGTTATGGAACATAATGAAATTTGGTATAAGTAGTAAGAATCCTAGAGAATGATATGCAGTGACAAGATTACCTGAGGTTATATGGTTGGAGGTAAAAGAGTGAGACAGGATGTCAATAGAGTAGTGGAAAGCTAGTGCAAAAAGAGGATTCCAAAGGCGTTTTCTATCAGAAGAAAAGGACAGTCTGAAACTTGAATAAACTTCCTTAGAGTAGATAATTTATTACCACCATCATAGAAAGACATCCTTTTGAAGGATACTTCCAGCATCAAGACAATATAATATCAGACAATTCATGAAAGATGTTGTTTCACCACATCTCGAACATCTCCAATGACTAGATAGAGTTGATATTGCAAAAAACTGAGTCGAAGTAAATTACTCATTCTCATCTACCAGCAGCAGATGACACTACTTACTCAGACAGGTTATTCATCCTGATCATGCTATAGCTTTGGTTAGCAATGCCTGTCTTGAGAACTTTATCTGGAAACTGTAGTGAGGGAAGAGACAGGCTTATAGCAGCCAATGGTGTTTTCCTTTTTTGGTATTCCTCTTTTTCCACGAAGAGAGAAAGTTCGGAACAAACTTCAGCAGATTCATTCACCATGAGGTTACTCTCTGGACTAACTTCAGCAACCTCCTTCATCATGAGAATGTCTGCCAAACTATCATCAGAACCAAAGTTGGAATCTGTTTTCAGTGAACATAGATCTTGCAGGGAAGCATCAACATTTTCTGAATCACGGCGAAGGCGACGCTCTATGAGAGGCTCCATGAGTTGATACACTTCTGCCTCTACATCCCGAAGATGCTCTGTTTGAAATTCCACAGCTTCCTGCACTTCCTTACTGTCAGAAATATGGCGGGCCTTGGGTCGGGGGAGACATAAATACATTAGACGCTTTTCTATGTCATCGGTTATGCTTGTGTATTCAGTCTTCAGCTGACATGCTATCTCAGCAGAGCATGGTGCTCCTTGAGATAGACTCTTGTGTGATGTTCCAATACTAAGAGACGAGAATGCACCCTCAGATGTCGTTGCCATAATTCTGCTGTTTGGTTCCATGAATGTAGCCATGTCAGGGCCTGATGTCCCATCAGGGGCACTCAATTGCGTCACAAAAACCTCTCCTGGATTATTGCTAACATCGTCAACAGAAACACAAAGATCTGGAGGGAAAAGAACACGAGCCATTAGGTTTTTTTGAGATTCTTGTTTGTCTCCACTAGAAAGACCTTCTCTAGTACTACTCTGCTTGAGACTGGACTTTCGGATTGGTCCTCGGAAAAGACTAGGGCTTTCAATCCTTTTTGCACAGGGATTTTCAATCACACTTGGTATGTCTTCCTGGATCTCATGATTTGCAACAGGAGCTTCAGTTCTCTCCCTTGGCTGGGAATCATCCTTCAGGTTTCTAAGTAAAGTCAGAGTCTCAGTCATCATATTCTCCAAGAGAGTCACTCGATAAGTAAAGCTCTTGATGTCTACTATTTCTTGCTGGTGAGTATTGTTCAGGTCCTCCATTCGCTGGTTCAATGTTTCAATCCGGTCATGGATGTTCCTTGTGTGGTCCTTCTCACTTTGAGCTGCTTTCTGTGTTTTATCCTGGAGATACTCTTCCATGCAGTCTTCCTCAAAATCATGGATTCTCTCAAGTTCATCTTTATCCAAGAATAACTTGAGGCCCTCACTGTAGGTCTTGTCAATGCCTTTGCACTTTTGAATCAAATATTTTGTCAGCAACACAACATGATTGATAAAGATGAAGGGAGGTGGCAGCACAGGTATTCGTTCATACTCCATAACTACAGTATATCTCTGGAACATCCACACCTGATGAGAAACAGCACTTACTTTACGAAAAATGTTGTTGAAGACAGCTATGAGAAGATTGATGAGGAGAATGTTTGCAACCAAAAGGTACACAGACATGACAATGGGAGTAATCCAGCGGCCTGTGTGACAAGGGACATCCCCCTCTTCATCACTACAAGGTGGATCAATATCACCAGCAAATACCTCTCCATATATCATGAAGTATGGCTGATAGAAAACATCTCTCAACAGTGTCCAACTAGCTTCTTCATTTGGAAAGAGGATGGACTGACGACAAACTCCAAAGCTCAAGAGAACAACAAGTAGAAGAATGACAAAATAAATCATATTTTCTACCATCTTGCCTATCATCGTAACAAATGGACCAAGATACTTGTTGACTGAGAGAATGTCCAGGATTCTGATGTACCAGTAGATGATGTCAACACAGTAGATTGTTCTGCCAATCTTCATCTGCTTTGGTGTGAAACGTAACCCCATTCCAATCCAAAAAAATAACACAGCCACAACATCACAGACATTCCATTTATTATTTACCCATATGGTGACTTTGTGGGTCAGTTTCACTGGTTCCAAGAAGATAATCTCTCGTATCATCTCTACAAACAGAGTTGACAAGTAGGCAATGATGTACCATTCCTGCCAACATGGCTGGGGTTCCATGCGTACCAGCACTACATAAGTGTAGAAGCAAAGGAATATCACATATGCAATGCTGTGACTCCAAAATTTTGTTATGGGTGCAGCATAGAATTCATAAATCTTCTTTTGTGTGCTTAGAGGTCGGCTGGATTGCTTGACATGCTTGATGGGATTGGTTGAAACTGTCCATGTTCCATTCTCTTTCCCATTTGCATCCATGGCAGTCAAACGCATCTTACTCCCATTCCTCATGAGATCTTGAAAATCATGCTCTGATGCAGGGTGTTTGCGGATAGGTGAATGATGAGACGATGAAGTCAAAGATGACCTTGAAGAAGAATCTGAGGATGTCAAAGACGATGAAGAACTAAAGTCTTCATGTTCCTCTTCTGTCTGTGGCTGAAGTTGAAGTTCTTCCTGAGTTTTGAATTCTAGGGATAGAAGAGATGGAGGGAAGAGAAGTCCAAGGATAACTTTGAGGTTTGTATTCTTCCTCATCCTTAGACCCCCCATCCATAAATCAGCAAGTAGGATCTGAGCACATGGATGAGCAAGGAATGCTTTGTGCCCAGCTGAAACAGCTAGGCTCAATGAGGTCATCTTGCCCCAGTTGTTAAGCTCATAAGTAAGGAGTTGTGCTGTCATATCACTGTCATGGCGATAGCAGAAATCCAACAGCTCTAGAGACAGATTCTCAAACTCTTGCGCAAAGTTCTTCAGTTCTTCAGCTACTTCTGCTTCAAGGTCATCATCTCTGGCTTCATGAGCCATTGCTTTGTACAGTGTGGATGCAATTAGGGCTTTTGCAAGTCCTTCTTCTCCATGCTGCCACATGAGAAGAGCCATGGAATGTCGTTTTGTCAAGATTGCCCATACCATCAGGTCATTGAAGGGATATTCAAATACAACATCAGGAACTTCTAGTGCAAGGTTTCCACGTTGACTATGGAGGACTGAGTGGTGACCAAAACGCAGGACTGACATAGAAAGATTGCGAGGAACTGGTTCGGCAGGTTTCATCACAGCTAAATACAGGTGTCTAAACTTCCGTCGACAGTAGGATGACTGGAATGCACCTCCCATGAGCTGGTTGATGACAAGTCCAATATCTAGTAGAGTATATCTAGCAGTAGAGGGCACACCAGGCCTTACATCATGAATGAGGTAATGTAGGGTGTTGGAAGGTCCCACCTTCACATTATATAGCTCTTCCAAGCGTTGAATGGTCAAAAACCTGGAAATGGCCACTCCATTTTCCAAAAGGAGTTTCACAAAGTCCAGGCGGTCATGGATCAATGCCTGCATCATTGCATCTTCCAAGGAACCCCTAGCCCATTCCTGGCCATAAACAAACAACTGTGACCGGGCAATGTCAACACGATTCCAAGTAAGTGCAAGAGCCAACTGGTCTTGAGGTAAGAGGTGTTCATTCTTCAGAAGTGCACATAACATTGCATGATCCAATTCTGGACACTCTGAATCTCCAAGGGAGAAGACTGTGATCAAGTGTTTGTGCCTCACACATTCCATGATTTCCCTGAAAAGCTTCAGCGATGACATAGTATCCATGCAAAATGTTTCTTGGATGGTTGCAAGGAGCTGAGACTTCACTTCTTCCAGTTCCAAAGACATTTCTTCATCATTCCATGAGTGCCTGTGAGCGAAAGCCAGTAGGTCAGCAGCACGACCAGATCCATCAACAATGACTACAGGCACTGGAGGAGAATCAGTCACATATTCTAGGACTGAGCGGATAGTATTTGGCCCACCTTCCAGCACCACTGATACAACTGGAATGCTACAACTTTGGAAGCTCAGTAGTCTCAACTTAGAAATGTACTTCTCCAATTTCTTACGAAATGAAATCTCAGCACCATATTTACCTGTAGTGCCATTATCAACGAGAAGGAAGAAAGCATGACGACTGTTCAAGACAGACAACTTGGACTTGGGAGCAGCAAGAGAATGATAAGGAACATCTTTGTTTTTGGCAATCAGGTTGATCCTGTTCTCAATGGCACCCCATGGTGCAATCCCAACACTGACAACTCGTCCTGGTCGTAAACGGGGTGACCTCTCTGAAATCAAGGCCTCACCTACATATTGTGTTGCACCATTGTCTGTTCCTGCAGTGAAGATCCAGGCTCCAGTTGTTTTTGCCACTTTCAGCAGACCCTTTTTGAATGCCTTTCTAAGTTTTGGTTGTAATTCAAAATTTTGCTTCCCACCATGCATGGTAATAAGAAGTTTGGGTAGTTCCAAGTCCCACTCTTGGGTAAACAGCTGTATGACAGACTCTGGTCGAGTATCATGTGCCAGGCGTATATATTTTGCTTTGGAAGGATGTGCTCCTCCTTGGAATTCAATTGTGCCATAAGCATCTGTGGGTACTCTCTGAGTGTGGCGAGAGTGAGTCCACTTCCCATCTATATTTGCAGCTTCAATATTAGGGGATCCTTGACCACTCAACAGTTCTTGATTTGGGAGACACATTATGAGGGGATGGTTTGCAATTGGCCAACCACAAGAACAGCGTGAAGGATCCTTTGGAGCAGGAATGATCTGAGAACATTCCCTCTTGAAGAAATTGTTTTCTATCCAAATGTTTGGCTCAAACATTGTTATTAGATCATGAGCCTAGGACCTACAAAGCAAATGACTTCTTTATCAACTTCATGGTCTTGCTGTTCAACATTAAATTCCACATATCCAAAACAGGAAGTTAAGGATATGATGGGATTGAAAGTCCCTCCAATATATCCATCACTTCAAAGATTTCAAAGGAAGGCCAATCAGTAGCTTCTTGAACCTGTCAACAAAGAATGGGAGAAGCACAGCTAGTCAGTCCTATTCTTATAGGGTCTATAAGACTCAGCCTTAGAGCCAAAATAACAGTAATCCCTGTCAAATAATATTGCACAGTTTCTTTCCATCTGAGATTGACCAATCTCAGATGGAAAGAAACTTTTTCGTATGAAACCCATAATCTACATAAACTTATCCATTTTCCCCATGGTATCAGAACCAACTGAAAAGGTATCAAACTCAGCCGTAAAAACTTGAAACTATAAAAAAAAGTTTTCTTTAATATTTGTAGCATACAAGCTCAATGACAAGACTTTTCCTTTTTGACATGATAAAGGGAACTTGGTATCCTGAACATGGTAACTACTCATAAAGCACAGAGCCAGTTATAGTATTTAGGTCTATTCTATGCAAGACAAATGTCTAGTATCCATCCTATGACATATCACTGCTGCAACACTAAACCTGTAGGCCTACAGCTTTAGGTTTGGCCTGCATATTTATAAACTACAGTCTAGCCTTGATATAGCACCACTGTTGGTCATTGCTGATTTTGGTGCTATAACAAGAGTGGTGCTATATCAAATTAACTATATCCTGTATTATATAGACCTAAGGGAAGATTTGTCCATGAGATGGTGATAGGCAAGAGTGGCACTAGATCAAGTGGCAGTATAACAAGAGTTGACTAACTTAAAAATTAACTTTACCAGCTTTACCATAGGTTCCATAGCTCTAATGCCACTTCTTGTACAGGTGATATCCTTCACCTCCTCATATGCAAAACAGAAATAACATGGAAAACTTGAAAGATAGTAGTATCTATTCATCCAGGGAATTAGCTATCCTTCATGAGATATTACCAGCTTGAATTCTCACAAATGTGCAGAGATGTGTCAATGTAGCAATAGTTAAGGAATTCTGTATTAGTCACTCTTGGTGAACTTAGCTTCTTCTATTACTTTAATAAGAAATTTTCCAAATTCTTGTGGACTTGGTTTCAGGTCTACACTCTGGTTATGCCTACCAGCCTGACTACATGGATGAAAAAGAAAATTTCTATAGCAGGCATATGACCTCATCTCGTTAAAACTACTATCTTTCCCTTCATATAAAATCTGCAAACCAATGAAGAATTACTTAGTTCTCCAGGGCACAGAAGGAATTATGTATAAAGTGCTGCTAAGCTGAGACCTATAATATAGGTAACCTGGTCTAATGCACTGGTAGATTCAGGAAGTGTACCCAGGAGGAGAAGAGGGGGTGGGGACACATTGTGCATTATGGAACAGTGTTTCAAAACCTTTTTTGATGTATGGCACACCTAGGCATGTGACACCTAAACACATCTACCTCACAAGCCCCATTTTTTCATGGTACATTTCACAGTCTGGTCATAGCATGCTACTTTGACTTCCATTCCTGACATTAATTTTTAGAATGTTCCAATACTATTCACTTTGTGAAGCCCTTATTTTACATCAAAGAAAAAGGATTACATTAGCTGATGCCAAGAGTGGTTGCTTGACAAGTAGCAAAAATCACTCAGCAACTGATTTTGGCAGCAGTGTTGTCCTTCCATGCCACAGTGCTATAACAATGCAAACAGATCCATGGTATTGTAAGGGAAGCAGTTTTGTCACTTCATTGTCACATGCTGCACCATGTCACACACAAGTAGAAACAGAGCTGAAGACAGCTGGAAGTATCCTAGGGCAAGTGCAGTTTTGGGCAAATGGAGGGAAATCTCATGGTATGCCTATAAGTACTTCAGGGCACACCAGTTGAAAAATACTGTTATAGAATGTATGTTATCAAATGGTTTGTATGTTACAGAAAATATTAATAGTAAAAAGAAAGAGGGCAGCAATAATCACCATGAGAATAAGGCAAAAATGCTCTGATAAACTCTCTCTGCTTGTCAAGCTTGCCTTTGCACCCAGTGGCGTAGCAAGGGGATGTAAGCCCCCCCAACATTCCACTTAGCACCCCCATTGGTGAAATCCTGGCTATGCCACTGTTTGCACCCCTCTCAATCCTTCACCCAGCACCTCACACCCAGTTGAGTCCTAATCAGATTGCTTCCCAAATCTCCCTCCCCCATTTTAATTTTCTGGTTGTACCTTTAGTTAGGTTACTGTATGCAGCATAAGAACCTCACTAGATATCATAAACTCAACATGTGTCTTTAAAATATTCAGACACAAGAATTTCCAATTATAGATTTTTTAAGATGAGTATGATGCACTTGAAGTAGACTGCCATACAGGAGCCAATTTCAATTCAAACCATTCCATCCCATCCCATGATTGCCTTTATTTTTTTCTTTATTCACCTTTACTTATATGGATCTGGACTATAGAGAGTCCAAAATCAGCCATTGAAATCATGACCTCAAATTCTTGGCTCACTCCAATCTGTATTTCCCAGAAAAAATTGTCCCTAAATGACCATAGATTTAACTAATCCAAGACTGTAGCTACTACTTGACATTTTCTAAACTGTTAACAGTATGGGCCATTGTTACACTTTGTTACACATTGGCTATTGTTACACTTTTATGATTAACAGCTAGGGCAAGAAAAACTATTAAAAAAATATGCCAGCTCTAGTGGGTAGACTGCCCCAGATGTCAAAAGCATACCTCTTCCACTCATTTCCCACATCTTATCACTCTGGCAGTCCCTGAACAAAAGACTGAACCTTCCCAAACATGTCAAGAACCATGCTACCTTGCTCAAAATACATATTCTTGGCCTTTTATCAAGAGTACCCATTTTTGCCTACATCAGGTCCCTATGAGCAGATGTTTAACTGCTGCTTGCTTTAGTTTAACTGCTGACGCTTCTGCTTCAATACAGTAGCACCTATGCCTATGCATAGGCAAAGTTAGAGGTCCAGGTCTATACAAGTCAGAAAATCCTCTGAAGTGCCCAACTTAAAGAAAAAAGTAGTAGGCCTTCATCAAATTTAGATTGACATCACTTTAGGAACAATTATTATGAACTTTTTCCCATAACCCTTCAAAGATGGTGAAATTCAAAAAAGAAAACAAAAAAAAAACAATTTGAATGCATTGTAATATTGCAGCCCTTTGGGCATTAAAGCCCAAAGGGCTTCAATTTGCAGAACATAATAATAATTTATTGAGTAGCAAATGTTAACATGCAAAAGTTTCAAAACTGAGAAAGTGAGAGAACTACCCACTCAAAACAAGTAAAAGGGCCAAAATCTGATTATATTTATTTATTTTTAACTACAACCTACAGTCAAAACAGAAAAAATACTTGGAAATCATTTGAAAGTAAGAATTCAGGAGGAAGGGAAGAATGCAATTAGATAAAATTGTTATACAACAAAACCTTGACATCCCTAGGAACTATGTGACTCATGTTCAGAGTATATGGGGGAGGGGTTACCGCTCTGGATGGAAATCATGGGGAGATATGGGAAATATGAGACTTGAACTAGCTCATCTCACAGGCACATTAGATGGATCACACATATCATCCAATGGCGCCAGACTTAGTTATTGATATTCCTACACGACAAACCGCGAGATGGATGAGGTCGGCATGAAGTGGAACTGTGTATCATGAAGAAACCAATGTGGACGCTACCTTACGCGAAAAACTCACGTGATCCAAAGGCTATCTCATACTTCAAACCCATTGGAGTGGGACGTTCGATTGCACGTTCAGTGGGCCTTACTCGGAGCTCGCCATCCCCCTAAGCCTAGGAGTCAACGCAAGCGTAGTACATTTTCTTTTCCTTCTTTCTATTTTTTTTTTTAGTGCAGTTGCACGAATTGACCGTCACTTCATCGATTCAACCCTAATATGAAGCCATAGTCGCATTGCACGAATAAATCGTTACTTCAATCATCTTTCCGAACCATGACGCATTCATGGTCTTTAGAGCCTCCTACGCCTAATACCTCAACGTGCATCGTGAAGTTTAAAGGAAGATTTTGAAACCCGTATTTGCGTTCTCCTAAGGCCTATAATTCCCTCCGGGGATTTCGAATCCGCTTCCTAATTGCAGAGGGCGCAGGCTTCGATAAACCCTGAGGAGGCCAGACTGCATTACGTTTCCCTTCGCTCATGGCTCCCCGTTGGAATAGAATGCGTGCTTATGGCTTGCAAGATCTCTGGGGACGATGGTTCATGTCTCATTGATCGATTGAGTATGAGATGGCTACTGGGTATGGCAAAAGAAATGACCAACGATTTTTAGCTTAATTGTCTCTGCTCACACTGAAGCTATTTTCGTGAAACTTTCACAATGCGTATGTGAGGATGCTCAACTGATCCTCAAATTTTCATCCAATTCCTGGAAACTTCTGGGCGGCCCTGTCAGCAGTTACTGAAGAGAGATTAGATATTGAGAATGGACGAAAGTAGTAGTGGAGTGGAGGGCAACCTCGGACGATGCCCTTTCCAGTCATCGTGACCACGTCCAACACCGCTTCCATTTAAATTCATCTTGGGCTGGTTGCTTCTTGGAGATGGTTTTCATGACCTAATTCCCAACGAATAGCAAATGAATCAACGGTTATCAATCTAGAGAGTTTTCACGAAGTTCCTACAGAATTTCTTAGGTATGCGGAGAAGAACGTGAGAGACGAGGACTCAAGGGCCTGACAAAGAAGACCAATGACTTCGAGTGACTGTATCTAAAGGCTCCTTTAGATACCTTGCCAAATTTGGTTAGAATATGGAATGTCTTCTTTTCTTCGTACCAGGTAAGTTTTCCCATATTCTTTTGATATAAATCGAAATCTATAGCCAATATTTTCCAATAAGTCTGAAATA